AAACATACATGTACATTTGAATACCAAAGTCAGTATTCAAATTTAGGGCTTGGGAAGAATTGAACCATGTCTGACCCATGATTTTTAAATAAGTTGAACTACCAGTCCGTTTAAATGCAGTTATCACCATACATAACTGCAACGCGTATTATAAACGTCATTTAAGTAATGAACGTTGTCTCTCTAGAAATAAAAAGCGCATATCTAAAACACTATGACGAGGATTTGCTAGAAAGCAAAAGCGTGAAATAAACGTTTTCTATCCAGAGTAGTCTAAGAAAGACTCGCAAAACAACAAACGCAAAAAAGTTAACCGAATGACTGCGCTGATTGAAGTGATTGAAAGCGAAAGCAAAAATAAAAGTTTTTCAACTTAACGACTCTGCGAAAGACTAGCTTGAAAGCTAGTGCCTAAAACAAAGGTTTTTTAACTAGAAGATTCGTTAGAGAGCACATGTTATGAAGCCACCTGCTCTGGCATAACGATGCAGTAATTAAGAGATAAACCAAGTAGTAACGGGCCACCTGTCTGAAGATAGTCGCTAAGCAGCAACGACACTTCAATTAAGACGCGAACTGATCCCATAAGGCTTGTTGGATATCAGAACTTGACGTCGTAAGTTGCGGTACCTGATCTGAAAGATACCGTAATGACACACGGCTTCGTGGAAACGCTGTACGAACGTCAGACCTTTGGATCTACATCCTTGTTTATGCCGGTACTTTCATCTGCCAGCTTCTAGCCTTCTACACATTTGACCGGACATCAACCCCAATCCTCTATTGATATATACAAGGTTCAAATAAGTTTCGAGCTTCAGTCGCAACTATAGCTGATGTGCTTTGAAAATAAAAAATTATTATAAGAAAGAACAGATTGATGAAAGTAGACGTAAACTTAAATCAATTCCTCATTCAGCGCACGAAAAAAAATGAATGAAAACTGAGAATGTCATATCGGGCTCCTTACGACTAAATTTGCTGCGTTACAAATAATGGTGAATTTAACTCGTCATATTGCAGACTTAATTCTAACCGAATTATTAAAGTAACTGAGTGAATTCTCATGAATAGACGACAGTTGTGTTCACTGTAAAACAAGTGTTCACAAACGTGATAGTGCAATGACGAAGCACATAATACCAATGGAACAAATGAAACTCTACACTAATAAAAATTGTCATATTGCCCAAATAGTGACACACTTGCTATGTGTTGCACTAATTCATTTTTTTCCACGCCAAACTTGGTCAAGATAACCCACATTAGGTAAGAAATGCATCGATATTTGGACAAAGTCTCATTGTTTCTCCGAGTGTAAAGTGTGAGATGCATATATCATTGTTATTTTAAAAATTAAAGACGTTATTCGATTCCTCAATCAAAACCCCCAAAAAAATATCACAATATGATGTGTTCAGCGTAGATGTACATTGTATAATATACCCAGACCATAGGGCTCACTTGGTGAAAACTGACCTCCAACACTGAGACCGGCTTATTGTTTGTTGGTTCGTTATCGGGCTGAGCGCCTGGCAACGTGCAATGCAATACTTGTCCACCTGCAGCTTAGCTATGGTCTAGACAGCGTACACCAGCCGTCCACTAAAGCATTAATTGATAATCCGGGAACGTGGGCTCGGCATAATGTGGAACGGGCGTGTCTGAAATATTATGCCGCTCTTCTTGCAGAGACCAGACAGGCATGTGAATACTTAATGACTTTAATAGGGTTGTAGCGATAGCTCAGTTATCCAGAGTAGTTATGGAGCAGATAGGACTATGCGATATGCTGCCATAAGCTAGCTGCACCCAAAATGCCTGATCTTGAACTCGAATTTGATTTCTTGCGCTGACATGAGAAAGTGCTGGTGAAAGACGATTGAACTAGGCTACATACAGTAAAATAATGCGAATGAATTCAATTGATTTCATTCGGATGAACTATGAAGCAGCTCGGATACGTGCCGGTGCCATTAAATATGAATAATCAGAAAGGTATTCTGAATGTTAATTAGTAAAGTGTTGGCCGAAACATTGGCTTTTTTATATCTGTCGAATTAAAAATTAATATTAGTAAGAAATAACATGTAGAAACTTCGGTTCATTCGCCCGCTGTATCAAATAATGGTTATAAATGTAGTTTCTTGGACATATCTTTTTAGAAGATAAAAAAATCTGCAATATAATTCCTAACCCGCGGCGCTTTTTCTTTAACTGATAAGAACTCCGGGGCATATCCTTTAAGAACGTGAGCACGTGCTCGTGTAAACATGCAACAACGCACACGTTCACAAGGTTTGTAACTATGTGCTGACATTTGGACTTTAAATGGAAGATATCATAGGGAAACTCAAATGCCGTACCTATTCTATAGTGTCGCGAGCTTATCTTTATTGATGGTTGATGTTGTAACGCAGAAATGGCTGCTATCTACCATATAAAAAATGGCTTGCGACCATAAATTCTTTTAGAGGGTTTATAATAGTAGTATAGAGAATAACATAGAATCGTAAACAAGGTCAAAGAAAGACGATCGGATTTAATAATGATAGGGGACTATGTTTATACCCTGCAGCGTGCATCATAATTAATAAATTATCCATTTGCGCAGCTATTATTTCTAATAAAACGAAAAAACATGTTTACAAATTCAATGAAACTTTCAATAGAAATTAAATTGAAACCTGACATGTTTCAGACCGACCGCATCCTGAATCTTGGAACCTGTTCAGATAGTAGCTTTGTTCGGCACGTTGCGGGTAATTAAGCGGAACCGGGCAGCAAATTTCACTATTTTAAATGTTATCTTTAATTTCATTGTTGCGCGTTGAAATATTGCACTAATAAATAAAGGAGATGACATTTTAAATAATTACTTACATCTTGTTACTATTCAAAGAATCAATTAATAATTCAGAGAATCAACGAGCTTGGATAGTTTTAATTCAATTGAATACCGCATCAAAATTAAACATAAAACATAACACAGCTAAAAGGATTGATGCAGCGTCAACTCGGGCACACGGATGCAGATTATAAATACGCATGACTTCATTTGTACGCACGAGGGAGGCAAAGGAGCGCCGCACCTATCTTAGCACTCCACTCACTTGACCTGACAGCCGCCCGGCGCATTAGGCCCTCTTTTGCCGCTTGTGTGAGACCGCGTCCAATGAGCGAACGACGTTCTAATAACGTTTACTTAACGTTGATTCGAGCGAATAACGATTATTTAAAAGTAAAAGTTAATTCAAGCAAACTGCGCTTAATTGATCGTTTAATCCCCAAGCAAACAACGTTTAGTGCAACGATGATGTAAGCAAACAATTTTTAATTCAACGTTGATTCAGGCAAAAAACATTTTATTCAAAGTATTTTCAAAAAAACAACGTTTTATTCAAAGTATTTTCAACCAAACAATGTTTTATTCAAAGTATTTTTAACCAAACAACGTTTAATTCAACATTGATTCAATCAAACAACGTTTAATTCAACATTGATTCAATCAAACAACAATTAATTCAACATTGATTCAACGTCAGATACTTAGTACGTGGTACAAATTTCGATTGCACTCAAATGCGCCCCATCGACATGCACTCAATGGCATGGATCGCAGATATGTCGATAGTATCGGAACTTGAATGAAGTTTTATAAAATCGTAACATTTATCGACGTGTGAAACAGCCACGCGCGCATCAGCAGCAATTCATAAGATATGATCGCATTTTCTTCAACTAATTTCAACGAAAAGCATTCATAAGAAAAGCAAATACAAGTTTCCAGCTGCAACGAAAGCTGCAGCAGCTGTCACGAAAGAATGCGACACCTCTAGCCTTCATGACGTCTTCATGGCGCACTTCATGCAGCAATTTCACGCAATAAAACGCGTCCTTGAGTCGTCAATTGAAGCCGCATATTCCTGTATGAACTCTTTCTTACTTAACTGTAATTCATGGCACCGGTAGATCTAAATAAATGCGGAAAAAGCTTATAAATTGATGCTTCGTTGTAATTGGAAAATGTTTTAACATACATTCTTCATGATTCAAAGGATCGACATGCTAATCAGCTGCAGCCGTGCTATCAAACGCGCCAAAGCACGCGTAACGGCCTAAGTGTAGGGTGTAGGTAGAGGCATATTTTTAATTTCTGAATGGAAGATTTCTCTTGAAACGTCGTTAGTTAAATGCTGGTTGAGTTACAACCACTTAACTATGTTTTATGTTATGGCAGTTAAACGCAAAGTTGCGTAGTGGTAAAATTGAGCATCACAATCCATTGTAAGTCGTAACATTTCGATATTACTTGAAGGTAACGCTCGAAGACTTCCAGAAGATGCATTGTGTCTAAACCACTGTCTAAAGTTATGCAGACATGAATAATTTCCATCTAAACTTATTGGTGCATTACGAGTCTCAATCTGTGTGTTAGTTGCGAGAGTAGTTATGTTTAGATCTTTGCTCATAATGATTTTACAAGCGAATTTGATAATAAGATGACGGATTATATTCATAGTTTAATTTGATCGATGCATAAGACTTACAAAATATCTAGCAAAATTAAATTTTCCTAATCATCTAACATTTAATACAGATAATTTGATGGCAGTAGTTTAAAAAGTATACTTATCTTTCATAGGAAAATACGTTAATTATTGTTATTAGACTAGGAGTTGAACAAAAAGATTCAAGTGAGTAGAACTAAAATTTTAACATATTTTCAGAAAACAAACTATTATTTAGTTTTTGATTGATTTCATGTATACAACTGTATTTAACCTGGGTACGATAATAGTGTTACGAAGTTATGCAGGCTGACATCAATGCAGGCTGATCAATGAAGCCTGAATTACAGCAATGAAGTTATGCAGGTTGAGTCAATGAAGCCTGAATTACAGCAATGAAGTTATGCAGGTTGAGTCAATGAAGCCTGAATTACAGCAATGAAGTTATGCAGGTTGAGTCAATCCCTCGCCTGCAGTTTAGCTACTCACGCGACACGGGTTCCGGAGGTGCGGTCGAGGGTCGGGATATGCCCAGGCAGACGGGCGTGTAGTCAGGACAGCAGTCCGGGTTGTAGTCGCGATTGCAGAACTCGTCGCAGTAGCACAGGGTGCCGAAAATGGGTACTGAGCAATCGTCTTGACGTTGCAAGCAACACGGATCAGACCTTCAAATAGAAATGAGGTATTGCATGAGGATCTGATTTCGGAATATAAATGAGGCGTTACGAGCAACACTTATCGATCTTGGAATAGAAATGACGCGTTGCAAGTAACATGGATCAAACCTTGGGATAGACAAAAGGCGTTGCAAGCAACATGGCTCAGATCTTGCAATAGAAATAAGATGCAGCGTAAGAATTGAATTGCGCCGAAATTGAAATTGGTTTTTCTATCACAACCAAAGATTTATAATTCCTGAAAGATTTTCAAGAGGTTCGTGGAGTTAATTAATGAATAGCTTGCTAAATAATATGAGGTGGGAAAATAAATAAATAAATGAAGGCTATTCTATTCGCATAATGCAATTTTATATTTCTTCTATATGAACGACTATAAGCCGGAACTGCAAATTTTTCAAATGTTAATTCAGTCCGACTAACAAAAAATATTGGCATTGTCGATTTAATTTGAACTCGTTAAAAGCCTTAACGTAAAACTGGACATACCGCGTTCTGCACCAGTCCCCTGGGATGTTACTGAAGAAGGGAGTCTTCTGAGCCTGGCAGCCTGACAGCCCCAGAAAAATGGCAAGAGTCACAAAATTTAGTAATGCGCAGAAGCTGTTCTTCTTTAAAGCCATCTCTCGAAATTTTCTTTATAGCTTCAACACTATTCACTTCAAATTGAAGCTCGGTTCGGTTCGTAAGCAAAGTTCATCGGTCAAGTTTCAAATTAGTCAACACGTAACACTAATGATCATACATATTACACTGAAAGTAATTACGTTGTAATTGCTGACGTGTAAAATTATTACTCATTAATGGCTCGTTATAAGTCAGTTAATTATCTTAATACCGTCCAAGCAGAATTTTCACAATTTCATAACAAAAAAAATTAAAAACATCAGAGCAGTATTCATATGGATGAAATCTCATCAGACGAAGCAACAAAAAATAATCTATATCTTGCAAACGGAAATCAAAGGCCAGTGTCACTCAAATATTTTACATTGTTCCGTAAAATCTCAGCCTAGAAGGGAGCATTTCACAACTACTCTCAATTTCATCAAAGCCAGGAACCATTTCATGTCGATTCAGCAACATTGCGATCGATGAAAGCGCCTCGGTGCTGTTCAAACAAATGTGTGTGTTTTGAAAGGGTAGTTATTCGTCAACCTTCCTCGGGATTAAAGTTGTTTGTAAACAACTCTTGGCTTCGTTGGACTTCGTAAACAAGGCTTGCAGATGAGGAGGTAGCAGAGCAGGGAGAGCCAAGGAATGCACCTCAAGCGCTCATGGCTGCACGTGACAGCAGCTCAACAAGCAAGCGCCTTGACTACACACGTAACACGAAAATAATTACATTTTTTATGACAATGTCTGAACAGGATATTGTTTAAATTTTTGGGCTATATCTTAAATAATTGCTGTATAAAATAAGATTTGATAGCCCCAATGCAGCAGATTACATTCCTAGCTTCCTTAATAATGAGCATTATGTCATGCCACCAACTTTGCTCTAGTTGCCGAGCTCGGACAAACTAATATAAAACTTAAATCTTTGGTCAATATGATCTAAAACAGTCATGGCAAAAGGCATTCGGGTGAACGCACTGATAAATCTCAGAGAAATAAAAGATAAAGTGATCTATTCATAGGGAAGATTGACGGCTCAGCCTATCAGGATTGTGATAACGAAATCGGTGCAAGTTTTTCTCGGTTATATTTCTGTTTCACTTCAGCCACGACTCTCCATCGCGATGGACAGGGAAACATTTTCTTTGTTCAAGTAAAAAGTTAGTTCTTGCACAGATTTGGTGCAATAGCAGTATGGAATGAGTAAGCCATTATCATACCCTTCGCCTAAAATATGAATCGTCCATTTGGAGGGAAAATATAAAGGCTAAATTTGAAATGCTACTATAATTTGAAACAGTCAACTCTCATATGTAACTTATAAACTCTTTAAATGATTATTTGAAACTTATTTAATTTTATTTAATGTGTTATAAATGTAAAACACTATTTTCAACTTGTTTAATTTCATTGTCAGTTCTACGTTTACGCATTCAATAATTTTAAGATAATTATGTTTCAAAATTTATTTGATCCCCAAGCAATTTCTTCGTTCATACCTGATAATGGTTTAAAATAAGCACATAACCTGCCGCTCTGGGGGACTGAATAATCAGGATAATATTTTATAATAAAATGCGTTATAACAAAAACAGACACGGGGCTGTCAGCAGTTAGGAAAAGGTAAACGGATAGGAAAAGTTTCTATCCGTTCCAACCATCTCTGTGTTTAGCTAAAAAGAAACTATGTATTAGAATAGAAGTGTCGGCATTGAAGAAATAGGTTGACACAAGTTTCCAATCCCAAGTCAGAAGTTTGAAGAAACGCGGAAATAATTAAAAATAGTGTATTGATCAATTCGAAATCAGCTCACTTAGCTGATATTTAAAACAAAATTCCTCATGATGCTTCACTTTCCTGAAAGACTCTCGCTGCGCATTGACTCGATTGAGTCTGACAGACAACCACTTATTAGCCAGCAACTTTGAAAAAAAAAAAACATATTTCTCATTGACCATCGATTCTTGGATTCCATTGACTCAATGAATTGTGGCTCCCAAAGGCCCAATTTATGGCTGACGATCATTTATCTTATAGAATTATTGTTTCTTTACGGATAAAAACGCCATTTTTTTCTAGCCGTCAGAAATCACTCGGAATCCAATATTCGCAATTATCAAGATTAAAAATCGCACGAGATTTTCAGTCAGTTTCTTTCTTGTAACGTATTACACTGCAGATCATAATAATGTAGTGACGGAATAATGCAACAAACAACGAGCTGTTGTCACTTCACTCTTGCACAACAACCTCTTGCTACGCAATGCACGTAGCAAATGACCGAGGTCGGCGAGACAGGCAAACGTTCGCCTCCGCACTCGAGATTAGACGAGTTGCGGCGGGAGGCCTGTTGCTGTTGGTAAAAATGCAATGCTTACGTCGGTATTTTCCAATATTGATATAAATAGATATATATATATTTCTTTATGTATGTAATTGATATCTAAAGCAGCTGTTTATTTCTCAATTAATAGCTAGAGCTGCATTTGAATATTGTTAATGGCGATTTTCACAAAGGGCCCCATCAACGATTGAAACTGCCGTTGATACCCAATGAGATCCATCTCAGCACAAGAAGCCACGTTGAGCGAGGAGATGCATTCAGAGTGAAGAGTTGATTTTTTGGATACAGCCTCGAGTAGATTTATTACTATATAAATTGGTTTAAAAAACGTAATGTCGGATCTTATGACCAAAATTCAATGTACATACGGCAAGCAACTGGACCAAAACTTAAAAACTTTTCAAGTACAACTTCTTCACTTATAGAGCACGGATCAAGCTGAAATAAAAATATATCAATTTGTAAAATTTGTCGAAGCCTTTTGACTCGGTTTCGACTCAAACATTTCTCGGGAGCTAACACAAAAACAGAAACTTTCATTTGGACGTTGTCAGCTCAGATCATTCGGGTATAATTTACTTTAGAAATCGAAATTAGGGCACACGAAATTGAGACGATTATTTTTCAAAAACACAGAACCCTGAAACCTTATATTATGAAAAAGAATATAGTTCCGTATCCAAAGATACAATACATTTCGCCTTCATAGAACGCTTCCAATGATCGTCCTCAGGCAACATGAAAAACTACTTCGTGTAGCAGCGTAGGCAGTCAGGACGGGACCATGGAGCAGATACTAATTATGATTAATTAATTTACATCACAAGAAATACTCGAAGATTTCAATAAATCCAGACCTAAGCTTTGAATTCTTCCTCTAACTATAAAGACATCTCTACATATTAGTAAAGAAATTTTTTTGTGATTCGCTTGAAAGTATTTTTATGAACAATCTTCTAATATTCTATTCTATTCTAAAATAAATATTATGGGTCCCCTGTTCAATAAAATGAGGTAGCTAAGGTTTTGCTCCTCGAGAGAACAAGTTATAATATTATTCCTACAGAGATGAAGAATTGATCACGTAACGTAAATATTTAAGATTGCATGCTAAATTCACGGTTTTATCGCAGCACTGTTTGAATGAAAATTATGGACAGAGAGCATTGCACAGCATACAGCACAACAGTCAGTGAAAGATAGAAAAAAGATCGGTCCCTCGTATATATACTACGGCGTGTTAGGGTGCACTTCATGGACGTATATACTACGGCGTGTTAGGGTGCACCTCATGGACGTATATACCTGTCTCTTATACACATCTAGATGTGTATAAGAGACAGTATTTAAAAGTCTCAAACCATAATATTCTTCCTATACAAACAGTTATTCACTATTTGGTAGAGCATGGTCAACTGTCAAATTTGACACATTTTTCGATCTCACTGGGTAGCAAGCATTGTCTCTCTTTGGATCTCAATATTTTCCCGCTAGATGGCCAAGACCTAGTGTTTTGGCAGTAGTTTGATGCACAAATGTATGACATCACCATTTCAACCATCAACGAATGCATGGAACTAAAACAAAGCTTAATATAAAGGAAAAACTAGAGAGGTGACAGAATTACCCACGATGTCGGAATATACCGCGTTTACCCTAAAGGTTTTTAAGCTCTAAGCGTCACCAGGTAATTTTTAGATGCGTTGCCGGCCGCCGGGTAATTTTTAATGAAAAGCCATTTACACTGAGTAATGAAAAACTATTTACAAGCCACAAACTTATTTACAAGGTTGCATGCACGTATTACCCCAAATAACTAATTTTACCCTAAAAACAGTCCAATTGTACAGCAAGTGTCAACTGAACATGTGATAGGGTAAACGCGGTATATTCCGACATTGTGGGTAATTCCATCACCTCTCTAGTTTTTCCTTTATATTAAGCTTTGTTTTAGTTCCATGCGTTTGTTGATGGTTGAAATGGTGACGTCATACATTTGCGCGTCAAACTACTGCCAAAACACTAGGTCTTTGCCATCTAGCGGGAAAATATTGAGATCCAAAGAGAGACAATGCACGCTACCCAGTGAGATCATCGAAAAATGTGTCAAATTTGACAGTTGACCTTGCTCTACCAAATAGTGAATTATTATGGTTTGAGACTTTTAAATACGTCTGTGAATATATTAGAAATCCTTAAAGTATACTTGTATTTGCTGATTTCAAGTGGTAAATAAATTAATGGATGATTAAGTTGAGAAATGGATTTATACACATGAAAACTAATTCCGTCACAACTTGAATTGGAGGCTAGCACTAGCCGCTTGGCCACTGTGCAGAGAGTGGATGAATATTGCAAGATCTTTGGCGATGCTTTAGTATCAAAATTTATGCCTTCAGAAGATCTTGCTGACACATTTAGATTGAAATTCTTGCATTTAACATATTTGTCAGTCATTGGCCAATTATTTAAAAAAAGTAAGGTTTCCGATATGTTGGATGGATCAGGATGCAGTGAAGCTTGTCTGGAAATCAATTGTGATGAGTTCCTGCCAAAAAAATGTAAACATCAAGCTTATGAATACGTAGTTGCAGTCACATTAGAGCGGTCAGACTGCATTATCACATGTTCAGTTGACTTTTGCTGTACAATTGGACTGTTTTTAGGGTAAAATTAGTTATTTGGGGTAACACGTGCATGCAACCTTGTAAATAAGTTCGTGGCTTGTAAATAGTTTTTCATTACTCAGCGTAAATGGCTTTTCATTAAAAATTATCCGGCGACGCATCTTTAAATTAGCCAGCAATGCTTAGGGCTTGAAAACCCATATATTGGCGACGCTGCATCCACCCTCTGCGCCCTGGCCGCTAGGAAGCTTCATGATCTTTAATCTTTCTTCATAGGACTTGCCCAGTTGTCCTTCAAGCCTGGAATTATCCTTGTTGCATGTCTTTGAACATTTTCTATTAGATTTTTGTCCTTTTCAAATTTCATTGACAAGACATTTCCAAATTCTAGATTTGGGCGCACAGCAACAAACAACTGCTTCATCGCTTCTGCATCTAGGAACTTGTAAGATCGTCTGATTAGACCAAGAAGTTTTTTGGATGTATTAGCTTTCATTTCAACATGCTTAGGAAATTTCAGCTCCTTGTCAACATAAACGTTGAGATCATTTTTCACACTAGACTTGGTATTACTTTAGATTAAGTGCATCTAAAAAAGGGTGTTTTTTAATTATGTTTTTTGGGGTGTAGATTAAGAATCTGAAATCCGTTTTTGGCGGTCGGCATCGGAAAACCAATTTTTTTCTTTAGATATTTTCTATAGAAAACTAACCTAACCTAACCTATCGGCAAAAAATTGAAGAAAATCGGAATTTTTTTTTTACTGGAAATGATCTATATCGATCTGGGAATGACTGTAAACCTATGTAAAACCCAAAAATTTTGCTACGTTAGGTTAGTTTTCTATAGAAAATATATAAATAAAAAAATCGGTTTTCCAATAGCGACCTGCCAAAAACAGATTTCAGATTCTTAATCTACACCCCAAAAAACATATCATAAAAAACACCTTTTTTTTGGATGTACTTAATCTGAAGTAATACCCTAGATAGTCAAATGGGGTAAGACAGGATTGCAGCCTTCATGGGGTAAGAAAATTCACTTATCAAAAAATTAGTGCATCCTTGGTCGTCACAAAATTGTACATAGAATGCTACTGTAAAATGGGGTAACTTAGACCGGCGGGGTAACTTAGACCGGCAGGGTAACTTAGACCGGCAGGGTAACTTAGACCGGCGGGATAACTTAGACCACTTTTCATTTTTTTAACAAAAACCCCTACAACTCAAAAACTATTTGACATAGAAAAATTTTTTCAATGGGCATTAAAGGCCTAATACTGAGGCTACATAACACAATAGAAAGATTTGAAAAGTTTGCATATCTAATAGGTTAAAAAATTATAAATGTGACCCATGAAAAAAAGCTATTATTTAAAGCCTGTCAGAGTACCCCCTGCAATTTTTTTATTTTTTGGTTAAATAACTCCAGGTTTTGATGCAATGTAGTAGAACTATTCTAGTTACATATGCAAATGACAAATTTCAGGAAAGTGTCATAGTTTGCAAATGGGGGGCACCACCCCCAAATTAACTAGAAGAGTTCTACTACAATGCACCAAAACCTGGAGTTATTTTACCACAAAATATAATTGATTTTACCACCCGGTCTAAGTTACCCCAAGAGCTGGGGCAACAAAGACCATCACTTTTTTGAAATTACATAAAGACTATGAGAGGCAGGAGCCAGCAATTTATGGTGAGTGAAGCTAGAGTATAGACCTGTATTTTGCATGTTTCAATTCAAGTTTAATTTAGCTAGTAAAAAATTGCATCATTTATAAAAAAAAGTGGTCTAAGTTACCCCCATTTTACGGTATATATAGAATTGTGCACCAGGCATCATAGAATGAAAAGTAATTGACCTAAACTATGATTTATTTCTCCAAAACATGATGGTTGTCACTAAAACATTATTTTCTGTTTCAGGTATGTTTTTCACAATCTTTTTTGTTATAGTGAAATCACTTGACTCAATTAAAATTGTGCAAAATTACAAACCATCCTGTAAGCTTACAGATACAGAAGAACTGCTACATGGCTGCTGATATGAAGCTTGCATTGGACAAGGTCGTTGTCAATGCTCATTGGCATGTCCATGGATACAGTAATATCACATTAATAATACTGTAATTAATGAATATTGTAATATAATATCAATAAATGAAAAACAAGAAAAATTCACAGAAAATGTCATTTATTTTACATCCACATCATCTACAATGAAAGAGGAGGACTTCAGAGTACTGTTAGTAATGGATGAGTACACTCTGCATGCTTCAAACGTTTTAAAATTAACTTTTATTGCAAGTGTCCTGGATTACCCTGTTTCCAAGGGTATATCGGGATCGTTTTATTTTGCGTATGGCACCTTACAAATAGCATATGGAATTTTTCAATTTTAGTGTTTTTGGTGTATTGCTATTTAATTTTCTTTTTCTTTTTTGAAATTAATTTTACACAGCTCAGCTGACATGATTTTGACTGAAAATTAGTAAATAAGTACAGAAAATTTCAGCATCCTGATTAAAATTTTCAATTTCATCATGAATCATTTGAGGTAAGTTAATCACTATTGCTGCAATGCATCTATTACTAGAAACCAATTTTTATCAAATTTCTTGATGCATATTTTTCTCATTTGCTGTAGAAGCCAGAGCACAGGTAGGTATATATATAGATGAAAATCAGACATTTGATAAGTATCATGACCCAGAAGATAAATTGCAATCGTTTCTAGTTTTCCAAAAATTGTCTTCACCATAATTCTGATCCTAACCATATTTTACTTGTGAATTGTAGCTAGAATGGCATTTTAAACTAGGATTAAGTGGTAATATTTGTCCAAATTGAGCAGTACCTATTTATTATCCTCATTTGTTTTGATGCTGTGCCATTTATGCAAATGATGTGTCACACATTTAAAACTGGCATGCAGACTGTGTTCAGTAAAACATACCTAGTGCAAGAAAAATGCAATGTCAATAAAGTTTGCTCAATTTTTCTTGCCTTAAATTAATTATAGACTATTTTATTTGATATGAGGTTTACCAACTTGGTTTTTTATTATGTGATAATTAACATTCATTTCCTTCTGCAGGGTTGGTCAACATCATTGCTCATCACCTGATAAGCTTTTTTTTGCTGTAAATGGATCAGATCGGACCATCCGAGTTTACCTTGTCCACAGTGGCAAGCTTTTGTATGAGTATCAGCCTTCTAAGCAGCTGTCAGCTCCTGTTTCATCCCTCCAATTTTCTCTTATGAAGGTATATAGCTCAATTCAAGTCCATAAATCAAGTCAATAGCATTTTGAAATTGAATATTTTCTCCTGTAAGTGTAAAAGAGAGAGAGATAGAGTAACCCCTGTATTAGACAAAATATGGGAATCCACAACCTGAAAAATCCACAAAATATATTTTAGTGTGATGTAGGTCCTCCTTTTGAGGCAATTACAACCTCAATTCTCAGAGGTATTTATTCATACAAATCGTGAATTGTTTCCGAAGGAATTTTAAAACATTCTTCAGTTAAAACTCCCTCCAGCTCTCTAAAAGACAATGGCAGTGGGAATTGACTGTTGGTTGTCTTGCATTTCTAAAATTGTCCATACATGCTCTATAATATTCAGGTCTGCTGTTTGTGGTGGCCAAATGAGATGCTCAACTTCATTAGAATGTTCCTTGTGCCATTTTCAGTGCATTTTCTCAGTTATGGAAAAAATGCACTATTGTGCTCGCCATGTCCATCCACCTGTCTGTCTGTCCGTCCATGACTTCACGTTTTTGTTGACAAAAAAATGTGCTCTCTTTCACTCACTGCAGTTAGTACCGGTACTGAGTTATATATTTTTTTACGATTCCAGCTGTATGAATCAGGGCATTATTATCTTAAACAATGGCATTCCTCCCTGGAAACAGTGCTTGAACCATTGCATGAACATGCCAAACATAAACATGGCCATAGGCTGGAAATAAGGTAAATGATGATTGGTCAGAGAGAATCACATGTTTATACTGCTTAAGGGACCAATTCTGGAGGTTTTTACACCACTCTAAATGCTTTGAATCATTTGTACTTGAAAATAGAGGCTTTCTAATTGGAGCAGCTCTTCCATAGAATCCAGATCTGTGCAGCTCCCAGTGGACTGTCTTTATGGAAACTGTGTTCTGTAGTTGCCCATTGAGGTTTGCAGTAATTTTAACAGCCGTGGTATTCAATCAATTTCATTCACTTGTCACAATTCAATTTAGGTACCAACGGCCTCTCTCAGACAACTTTGACTTTTGGCCATACCTGTGCCTTGCTGAGGACGTTTTACCTTCTCTTTCAAAAGCAGTCACTACTTCAAAGACAGTACCTCTAGAAACGTCACACATTATCCAGAAGTTTCTGTCACACTAGCACAGCTCTGCCATACAGGCACCAACAATTTGCCCTGTTTGAAAGTCAGAGAGGTTTGCCATTTAGGTTATACTTATTTGTTAGGTGATAGACACAAAATATACCAAAGACATATGTGCAAGGAAGAAATAACCATTAGCAGCAATAATAAAACCTAAAAATTAAATACATTTTTATTCTTTATAACATGTTCAAAAATGACGATATCAAAATTTCAGGCGTTTCCCTTATTTTGTCCAACCCCTGTATATCTGAACTAATTTTACCTAGGTATTGTCCCTACTAGTATGGTTATATATACCTATATATTCTCGCATATCTAAGTTGTATATATAACTATATTTTCTAATTTTAATTGAATGAACTAGGTACCCGTACTTGTGATAGCATTCTTTAATATTTCAAAATGATGCCGGTGACGGTGTGAAGTATTAAAAAGGTTTACATTAATTAGAGTTGGTGTAGTTCGGCAGAAGCTTCTCTTTTATGCAAGTTTGATTGAAGACCAGAGCATGCTTTTTATTTACAATCTTCTTGTTCGTCTTTTCTATGAGTCGAACCAAATTTCTAGCTGGAGCCGGGAGATCGAAAAGCAGGTTTCCGAATGACATTTTAATAGATTGCAACGTTTCGAAAATACAATTTTCATTATCAAGCTGGAGATGGTTTTACAACATTTGAAATTGAATTTGAAATGACTGAAGTACATATGAATGGTATAGTGGATACAATAAAATAAATAATGTGGATACAACAAAATATATAAACTTAAAATTACTCCGAAAATAATTTCAGCGTCCGGACGAATCCAGTAGTTTGGAGGTTGATAGCCGGAGACTCGCTCTTGATAATGAGAGCCTCAGCTATCATCAGTCTCGATGGGTCGGGGCACCGCATAACGATGCTGGTGCAGGCTTCCAATGTCGCTCGGGTGATGGTCTCATTGTGAGCCTCCCGCATGTGGTTCTTAGGTCCTCCAGATTGTAGGTGGCATGTGAGTCGTCGGCTCAAGGTCGTACTTGTAAGTCCAATGTAGTTCATGTTTGGAAGAAGTCTACAACCTTCTTTATTACATGAGAATTTATAAACCACATTAGTTTCTTGAAGCAGACCAGTTTTTTTACAGGGATTATTATTCATTACAAGGTTTTTAATTTTCTTATTTTTGTAGTAGATCAAAAGTTTTATATTTTCGTTATCCGTTGTGCTCTTGACATTATCATGGATAATTGATTGAAGGACTCGTTCATCCACTTTGTAGCCACTGTTCATCTGGTTTTGGTAGAAGACCGTTGTGGGGGTTCCATTAGATACTGCTTCATTGTTGGTTCGGTTTTCTCTCGATCGGTAATTTGATATTTCAGTGTCAACTGTTCTATTTGAGAACCCATTATTCACTAGAATTTGTTTACACGATCTGAGTTCGGTTTTCAAATCCCTCTCGGATGTGCAGGTCTTGAATGCTCTTTGTATGAGAGCGCGCACTGTGTTGGTTTTATAGCGCTGCGGGCATTCACTTTTTTCGTTAAGCACTTTCCCGACATCGGTAGGTTTTCGGTAAACATTAGTGACAAAAGAATTATCTTCAATTCGCACTAATATATCTAGGAATGGTAATTTGTGATTTTGTCCAATTTCATGGGTAAAAGTCAAGACTGATTCATGTTCCAAAGCTCTTCGCAGTTCGATCAAGTGCTCTTCGAATGTCATCTACGTATCTGCAGTAAAGCTCAGGCTTGATCTGTGCATTGAGCAACACTTGATTTTCCAGTTCACACATGTAGAATTCTGCGAAAGTTGAATTCTACAATTTATTAGAGTGTGAAGTGTTTTAATGTATTTATGATATGTCCTCCAGCAATGAGCTGGACACATTTTTTTGACACATTTTTATCTATGTTGGCAAAGCTTTACTATCATTAGAAATTTTACTATCTTGAATCATTCACAGTGAATTAATGAAAAACTATTTTGGCTTTAATAAAGCTCTTTTCAGTTGGCATGGTTGGGATGACTGAAGCTCACTATTACTTGCTATTTCTTTAAATAATAAAAATTAAGATCTCAATTAATATTGAAATTGAATGTTGCTTATTAGGTACACATTAATAACCACTTTTGTAATACTAGAGAATAATTGGCATGAACAAGAAGACTTCAATTATAACCCTTAAAACAAAGATAATTTCTGTTGTTGCCTAAATTGAAATTCTGGATTTCAGTACTATTATAGAATCATTACTTACACACTTTTCTTACCAGCAGTTGAGGAAACAATGATTACATGCAACTAGTCACTACTATGTTTTGACCAGCATGAGGATTCTGGAGATACCTAATTTAGACCTCAAGAAACCTGTGATTTGGTACACAGTCAACCATAAAAATTTTCAAAAATTGACTAAGCAAATTTGGGAAATATTAAAGCTATAAAAAATGTACAATTATGTATGGATAACCAAAGCAAACTTGAATTTATTTTTTAACCGATTTGGAGTAAAATCTTTTTGATGTTTAATTACTGTTTACTGCAACATATCGGAAAGATTCTATTAATTACTTTCTGAAAGCGCATTGTACTCTCCTTGTACAAATTTGTAATTGTTTTTTGCAGGATGGAAAATCATATAATGTGCTGTCCCTTGGAACTGTTGACGGCAGACTAATCCTCTACAATCTGCCAGCAAGTCGGGTATTGAAACAATGGAAAGCAACCTCAGGAGAAATTGCCATCACTGCCCAGCAGTGGTTGTCAGCTAACGCTCTGGCAGTACTCACAAGCAACAATTTTTTAACCATTTGGGATGTTGAGAAACAAGAAATTATAAGGTGATAATTTTAACTTCATTTGTCATCTTTCCATGCTTGCTTTATTCAAAGTATTTATATAAAAGATATAGGTACCTACAGTACCCCTATATTGTATGCACAAATTCCCCTTTCTTCTGCTGTTGCATTTTTATGTCAATGATTTTTTCTGTAATTTTGAACATAATTAGAAGTCTAATGCTTCCAACATTAATTGCATTTCTGCAGTGGATTATTGGTCAAATGGTTCAAATGTTAATTAATTGATCTCATTTCCAGGCAGTTCAAAGTGAGCGGCAATAGAAGCATGTGCAAGGTAACAGCGTCAGTCATGGCTATCTCAAGTCAGAGTATTGAGCTGCTACACATAGGAGCAAATGGCCTCAAACGCAAGAAAAAGGCTATAAGTAAATCTGGCTGTGAAAATGAAGCAGAACCTGGAGCTGTGTTGCGCAAGTTAACTGGGCATGCTTCAGAAACCAGCTTCTTGCTCCCCGTGCTCCAAAAAGTTACTAAACAACCTCTATATCTGATTTCAGCCTCACATAATGATGTATTTGTTTACATTTGGTAAGTTATGTTCTTGTTTCTTGATAAATATATTGACTGGTTTTCTCCTTAAGAATTCAACATTTAAGTCAAATTAGCTGTTGAATAAAAAATTTAGATTTTTTAATTTGTTGATAACTACTACAAAATTTACCAATTTCCATTGCCTTCATTCAACTTTTTCAAGCCTGGCTCGATAAAGTTTTCTATTTTCCTGTGATAATTCTAAAAAATTGCTTGATTTTTTCAAGGGACTTGCCTCTGAAATTCACAAAGAATGATACCAACAACACGAGACAGTCATTGGAGTCTCCTCGCTGTGTTCTAAAAGCTGTGGAGCAAGTTGCTGACGTCATGACCACGACACAGAATGTAGCTGTCGTTTCAGCGCTTGGAACGTTGCGCCTGTTTTGTGGATGCTTTAGCGTGTGAGTACGCTAGTTTCCTATCAAAATTACTGATAATTATTTTCCATTGTATTCTATTGAGGCTTGTTAAGTAAGCCTCCATACTCTTGGTGTCTGAAAAGAAGTATATTCTGTAGGATTGATTAAGATCCCCATTCACCAGTTATCAAACATTTTTGATCTAAAACTCTTATGCCCTGGATGTAGATCTAAGCTCTTTAACTTTGACGTAATATGCTGTAAGAAGGATACGTATGGATTATTTTGTTACAGACTAAGGTGCATGGAAACTTATTCATAAATAAGAAAGTATTTTATTGTTTGATGATGTGTTTTTTCTTTTTTCTCAGATCAAATTTGCAGAAGCCCATTGCTGCTACGGGCTGCCTCAGACTCTACAGCAATGAAGAACACACGGTAGTGATGCCCATACAACAGGTCTGCCTGTTGACTGCCACACACGTGCGCATCGTCTACGGAAAAGGCAGCTGTTTGCGTATTGAAGAACTGGTAAGAGTTTCATTACAAGCAAATTTATGCACAAGGCTACCTATAAAATTTGATCACAATTGCTCATTTTAATACAACCATTACAATGATATTCAGTTATTAATTAATTGTTCACTTTACCTTCAACGTCATGTAATTACCAACTCTCGTGCCTGTCTTTACTTTCATCCGAACTTGAAAATATTCTTAAATCTACTACTGTAAAATACAAAGCATGTACGTAGGTAGTTAAAATAATACTACTATAGTTGTGTGTAATTTCTAGTAATTAAAAAAATTAACTGTGATTTTCTAACGCGGTATGCATTTTTTCCCACAAATTTAAATGCCAGAGAGTAAATGGAAACATTTGCATAGGAATTTTTAAATATCATACGAAGTAATTTCACTAATGAATTATATTTTTGTCAGCGAATATCTAACTATGCTCACGAGAATGTTATTGAGAATCAGTTGTTTATGTGTGCAGAGCCTGTCTGTGCTGCAAGGTGATGTGAAGCTCACCAGAGCAGATTTTGCGACTCAGAGCGCAAAGAAGAACAGGAAAACAGCTCATCTTCTAAACACTCAGATGGAGCACCCAAAGGCGACTTTTGCCACATCTGCACAGATGCCGCCTCTCAAGGTGATTGTTACATAATTATTTACCAATTAATTGCTACATACTTTTCGGATGAGAACTTCTGCTTTATCATTGATACACCTTTGTTGATTTTGAGGAGTAAATATTATTTAATCTTGATCTAATTATTGTAATTTCGGGTTGAGATTTTATTGTTCAATTCTATTCGGCTTCTTTTTAAAAATGATGTTATGAATTTATTTGTTCATATTTATTAGATTTATTATTTGAAAAGTTATTTGTGTTGTGTGCTCAGGTAAGAGGGAAACGTAAGGACGTTGGAGAAGATGTTGCTGTGACGGACAACCTGCCCATGGAAAGCCTCATGACGGCCATGAACATCACAACTGATGTCAGCATCACAGAAACGTCTGCTGATGTTCTCAACAAGAAAAGTCAAGCACAGCTTCTGCTACAGGTCTGCTTCATTCAGATGATTGATCGTTTTTATTTATCTCGTTAGCAGTTGGGTTAATTTTGGTAAAAAATTGATTGTGTTTGTCAAAAACCCCCATAATTAGTGGCTCTTTAATGAAAAAGGAATTGTAGGCTTCTGAATTGCAAATAGCATAGTTTGTCAGTTTTCATGTATCCAGTTAACTGCTTGACTTTGATTTACTAACCTTGGCTCGCCTCGGAAGAATAACCCTTGTAATATTTAAACTAGGTATTGAGATACATCTTTACCCTTACGAATTCCCAAATAGGTTTATCTCACAGGCTCCAATACTTAACGTTGCTAGAGAGAAATGTGTACTAGTTTTGCACTAGCTTCTTTATTAAAGGGCTTCAACAGCGTGCAGAAAATACGTGCTGGTTTTAGTTTGCCGGTATTTTAAGGCTTCAACAGCGCGTAGAAAATGTGTGCTGAGTTTCAATTCAATGTTTATTTTAAGGCATCATCAGTGTGTAGAAAATGTGGGCTAGGTTTTCATTCCCTTGTCTCTTTAAGGACATCAAGAGCGCGTGGAAATGCGTGCTGGGTTTTCATTCGTTTGTCTCTTTAAGGGCATCAAGAGCGCGTGGAAATGCGTGCTGGGTTTTCATTCGCTTGTGTATTTCAGGGCATCAACAGCGGCGACAGTCAGTTGCTGCACCGAGTGCTCACCAACACCAACGTTGACGTGATCAAGCGGACGGTCTCCTGCCTGCCGTGCGTGGCCGTCAGGCCGCTAATCCTCGAGATGCACTCCTTCCTCAACACCTACTGGCATAAGTGAGATACTTTCGCTTTAGTGAAAGTAGTGTGAAAGTTTCACACTAGTTTTAGTGTGAAAGTAGTTCTCTTGAGCTTTTTCTCGGCACTTAGTGTAAGAGGAGACCGTGGACTTTCCCTAAGGCATTTAGTGTAGGATCAGTAATGTGCTTAGGCTTTCTGATAAATTTATGGTGTAGGAGCTGTAATGTGCTTCGTGACAATCGTAAAATTCGTGGCAATTGTATACTTCAATCGAATATATAATGATAATTTTCACCTTTCTTATCGTCTATCAGCATCACTTCTATTTTTACTTTTAATTCAAAGCGCCCAAGTTTCCAGCAATTATACATCCAACTGCCAAAAATAAAATGATTAACTGAAGTAACAAGTGCTGACTGGAAGAAAAATTGAAGTAACAAGTGCTGACTGTAAGATTAACTGAAGTAACAAGTGCTGACTGTAAGATTAACTGAAGTAACAAGTGCTGACTGTAAGATTAACTGAAGTGACAAGTGCTGGCAGTAAGATTGACTGAAGTTACAAGTGCCGACAGTAAGATTGACTGAAGTAACACCGCTGACTGCAAGAGATAATTTATCTGTAACAATACAAGAAGTATACATTTTTTAGTCGGCCTTGCCCGAAGCAACATGACAAATTGTAAATTATCTATTGCGAACACGGCTTTTCAATTCCGATTTGTTGGCTGCAGTGCTGTACCTAATTCTCGCTATAACATTTCATATAACTCATTAGTATTCTTAGGATATGATTCGGACGTTGAAGTGTCATGGCACACTAGAGCTCCGCCTAAACATAAGCTGTCTCTCGGGTGATTTATTTGTACACGACTTGAATTGTTTATTCTCCCGTGCAGGAATATATCTTACACGCTGTGGTTGAAAGAAATAATCTTCCAGCATCTGGCCTTCATCAACTCGTTGCCCGAGCGCGACTCTCTCATACGCCCGTTCAAGCAGTACTGTAGCGCCCACAAGGTGCACCAGCTCAAGACTTTCGAAGTAAGAGCGGTCACTGTGCTTAGAGGGAAAATATTGTTGTGGTAGAACGTTACTTGGTAAAGCATCCTGGTGGAATAGTATTATCTAAAAAGGTATTATCGTGTAGTATATTGTGGTGGAACTTATTTTGGCGCAAAGCATTCATCTGGATAGTATCGTGAAAGCCTTGCTAGTGCGATTCTGGTGCTAGTTAGCTATTCATCGATCTGCTATGTGGATTCTTATCAATGGTAGACCAATGTTAGATACAGTGTACACCAAGGTTAGATACAATGAAATATGCGCCGTCTATTCAGCAGAACCCCAACATTAAACTTTGAAAAATTTCTGGTGTACAATATCTAATTACGCGCATGAAGGCATCTTGGCGTGGCTCTGACTAAGTAGTGAGACGGTGCGTATACTGTCACTAAATATCTAAGAGATGATAAAACTCGCCATTGTTTTAATTTTTTCGCTCCTTGCTTTTATTTGGATTTATCATTGTATGGTGAAAAATGGGATAAATGCTTTACTTCAGTTGTCTTAATAAATTATACGTTTAAAGGTTACTGAATTAATTTTAATATGTTTATTTAGATATGAAACTATTCTTTTCAATTTTTATAATTATAAGTGATAAAACGCCCACATTCCACATTTATTTTCAGCTGAAAAGACGTTTGGACTCCATTCAGCACAACATAAATCGAACAAAGACATTGGAATCTGATGCCAAGACTTTCACGCCACTCATAGTCGTCAGAGAAGGTAAATCATTTATCGAGGAAGAAACGCATTCCTTATCAGTGCTGCTTTCAGTGTCACCTTAAAATTTTATTTTTGTGCAACCCTTCTGAGATTTAAGAATTTTTTGAAATTGAGAGAGTTTCTGAATGTGAATGAAGTTTTTGTTGGCTACTTTGAATTGGCGCTCAGCATTATGGTGCTGTTACATAGTCTATCATTCAAAATGTCATAACACGCTGGTTCACAAGATGGGGAAATTGCCTGATGGTGCAGTTATAATTCAAGTCATTCGCGGTGTGAGCTACGCGTTCTTGGTTTGCATTCGTTCTGTTTTTGATAGACGAGATAATTTTTTATTTAACATGTGAAACTGAAAATGTATATAAAGTGCAAAATCTTAAAGTTTCATCTCGTATTCTCACAGAATCCAGTGACGATGAAGGAGGAGAGGATGTGAAAAAACGCTTCAAAAACGATGGTGTGTGAAGAATATATTGTTGAAATTATTTCGTACTGATATTTTAATGGTTGATATATGGTACGTGATATGAAACGTATGTATGGTTGAAAATTTTTATTATTATAATCCTGGTATATCATGGAAAGCATTTCATTATGATCTGCGCTTGAGGGTTTATTTCGCTAATGAACATTTGGTAAATATGCTAATTTCTGTGGGCCTCTTTGAACGACTCTTTTTACGTCTGGAGTTTCCTTTTGCATTTTTTAAGCTCATATCAATCACTATTGATTTTTTTTCCCAATGGTGTATGCATTTCTTTTACTGCTTTGAGACTTATTAAGTTTCTTTTAAACTGATGAGCTAAGTTTTAATTTAATGTCTTTTCTTTTTAATATCTTTTTCAGAAATTTCGGCTATGGAATGGGACGATTAGCCTGCATTTTATGGACTTGTAAGTAAAATTTACTGTATTAAAATGTCCAATCAGTGTCTACTTCTTATTTTCATAGTTGATTATTTCAGCGATGAAGAAAAAATTATACGTAAGGAAATTTTCGAGTACCAGCCGCGGACATTATTTGGGGTTAAGGCAAGGTTATCATTTTTATTTTAATGTACAGATCACACCTCAATGGGTGGGGACTTGCGTATTGTGGTTACGAATTTTCTTGATTAAGCAGTTGGTTCACTGTACAAATACTTAGATTTGCGTGTAATATGCAGTTTTGCATCAATTTATATGAAAGTTTCTATGTTGAGGAACTCAATGCACATAATTTGCATGGTTTAATGATTGTACTCGGAGATCTGCGAAGACAAGGCGCGGTCAAATAACTTCTCTCGAAACAGTTTTTAAATGAAGAAATGCCAATTTTAAATGAAATCAATCCCGTTTCATTCTTTATAATATGAATTCATAAGAGACATCTAGGAAGGAATAGAATAAAATCTTTTAAAAACACATTTTTTATTACAGAACATAAGTGTTTTTTCCAATGATCCGCCTTGTAATAACATTCACTGTGAGGTCGGACCGATGAAATGCGACAAGTAAGAATTTCTGCCCGTACAAATATAACTAGGGGAGAAAATTTTGCCACTACCAGGTTGGAAATATGATATTGTATAACAATGTTACTGCACTTAATTTGACGCTACAATTATTCAGTATTGGCGAAAGTTAATCTCCATGTTGGCACGTGGGTGCCTGCATCAAGTCTTTCTAATCACATCGATGAGATTAGGTCACAACATAAATGAAGAACAGTGTTTTTAAGTGGCCTACATGCAAAATAGAAAAGCAGCAAATGCCCGTATAATAAATAATGTGATCAACTGAAGCAATGAAAACAGACAAAATTGGAAAAAATTCTTTGTAATCGCGCCATGTGAAGTGATGAAGTGATCGTCAGAATGACGGTGACTAACTCCGTTGCCCGTTCAGCATTTGTGGCTGATAAGCGCTGATATAAAAATGAACCTAACAGAGTAAAAATCATTTTTGGTAGCCTGGTCTTCAGAGTAAAAAATTGAATCGACATTTTTTATTGCAGAATCCAGGGGTATGCACTGTAAATTACAGTTACCTCTGAAAAATCGAGCATCACGTTCACGGTCGCAATATTTCCAGAGAGAAATTATGAACACACGCGTTTGTTCAGATCAGTAGAACTCTGATACCTGTAGAAAACGGTTTACTTTTAGAACAAAAGTAATATGTAGAACGTTTACGCAGATATTCCTTTTCATTCTATTTCTGAGATGAAATTTACCGCTCTATTTCCATACTCAATTTACTGGTGGATATAAGGGACAGAGAACTTATTTGTGAGGAAAGTATTTAGAAGTTAACTGGAGCAGAAATCTTTCTCTTCGTAATGTAAATACCGGTTACCTCTCGACTCTTACACAGAAGTTAATACACCAAGAAATTATTCTTGCATCAATATTAATAAAAATGCCTTCACTAGTGTAACGAGCTTAAGCTCCGATCACATGTCGAATCACGAGTGCAAACAATCAATATTAGTTTAACGATATACTTAGCCAGAATCTGAGGAAAGGAGTCAATAAATTTGCTGATATTTCAAGATTAAATTTTGCACTAACCTCATCGAAATGTCCGTACTTTGTCATTGAGTTTCGCCATCTCAGATATCGCTGAGCAGCGACATAGATAAAAATAAACGAGTATTCGACGGCGCACTGCATAGATACGCTGTTGAGTTGAGCGTTAGAAACTTTTAAATTATTTCAGGCCCAGAACGCTCATCTAATTACCAATGATAAAGCTTACCAGTGAACCCTAATTAGGGCTCAAAAATAAGTGATTTCGAGCGCATAATCCGTAACCGAGGCGCCTTTTGATAATTATATCGAGAAACGAAAGGTAGTTAGGTTTCTTCTTAAATGAAGGAAATGAGAATGCAATTTCGGGGCGAATCGCAAAGTGAGCGACAGAAGAATGGAAGCAGGCGCTAGATCAAACAACTTCATAACCTTACCCACTAAGCTTTCCCACTAGATAACATCAACAGCAAGTACTCTTGCGGAGACATTTACGGCAGTCCAATAAAAGGGTATACTCTATTGAGGAGAACTACAGCGTCTCAAGTCAAAAAGCCAGAGCATGATGATGACGATACTAATCGTATTAGAAAGAGTGACAGAAGCTCGCGCACACACTCTAATATTTACACATTTCTAGTCAACACTCAGCGCTGTTTCGAGTCAGGAGGGACTTTCTCTGTACATGGAAAAGCGGCGGCTGTAGGAAGAATGGTGTTCATAAGCTCAGTTGGTACGACTTCGTTTAGATGGCATCGTTATAATTTATGTCAAAGACATAGAAAAATTGAACAACGAAGAGTTTCAACGCTTCGAGTATGTCAACCTGGCGTCAAAAAATTTGAATTTGAGTTCACAAAAAGGGCAGAGCGCAAAATTGGGCAATTGGTGCTCTCATTGAATTAAAAAAAAAAGTTTAGGTTGGCGCGACATAATGGTCGAATATGGACAGTATATTATATCGTGTTTTTTAGTATCAACGCCGTAGGAAATAATCAATAGGTATATCAAAACAGACATTATGGGAAAAATTATGTCAAAATGACACCATCGAGTGGAAAGATGTCACGGAAATGAGCTCGTCAAGCGCTACATTGTAATTTTTCTAGGCAGGATTGACATGTTAATTTGTATGAATTTTCTCCAAGAAACTCTTACTAACATAGACGAGCTAAATAAATTCGTGGAATTTCAAGAGCATCATGAAAAACAACGCAATGAAGCTAATCTTTTGGTTTGTAAAGCAATGTGAAGGGAATGTTCGACAACCTGACAATTTTTCCACCGTTCGATGAAATTCACTGATGACGATCTTATCACAATAATAGTGGGTTGAACAAAGCACGAGCTACCTACCCACCGGGCACCTGCCGTTAAAATAACGTTGATTAAACGTTATTTCAACGAAATCAACTCGTAATCAACGTTTTCAACGTCATCTACGAGGAAGGTACTTACAGTCGTACGACCTGAGCTCGTTACACCTCGCATCTTAATCTATAATAACTTGATCGCTCTTTACTGTCATTATTTACAATCTATACACACGAGGCAAGATTACTTCACCAAAAAATGCACAAATATTCAGTCACGAGACCTTCGAACAGGTCCAGCCTTCTATCGACAATCATAAACAGGAAAAAGGCGCCCCTTCACACACGAAGCGCTGTAGACGCTCTGATGTCTGTCACTGGATTGCACGGAGTCAATGTCGCATACACTTGACCAGCAATTGTTCATTTTTTTTCATTCACGTTGATCACAACTTGGTTGAATCCGCCTTTCACGTAGACGACTAACACTTCAGGAAATTCCGACTCGCTGCGCCGTAGCGATTTGCTCTGATTCACCATCAACATTCAGAATTAAGTCCCTCACAAAAGTGGACATTTTCAGGAAGAGGTAATGAGGATGCATGCATCTTGAAACAAAAGTAGCAATGTAGTCAACTCAAAGAAGAACATTTTTAATATACGAGATATTTAAGCTTCAAAATTGTTGATAATTCGAGCTCAACTCTAAAGACATGTAAGACAATGCGTTAGGCAATAACCTAGTCAACTTTACCTCGCTAACATAATGTGATTTCTCTCTAAACGAACGCATTAACTTACAAGCTACAAACTTATTTAGAAAATATTATGAAATGATCGCAGTTCGTTCAGCTAATTTCATTTTAGAGATCATATTTGCGCCGGATAATTGGAAAATTATTTTTCAGTACCTGCTACATGTAGACTATAAATAACTCGGTAAAGACATGTAAAACGATTGAATATATTATCATGATAAGTCTTTTTGATAATTGGTTTTGTATGGAATTATTCCTCCAGTCGCATTACAGGCTCATGACCCCGTCAGGACTGGAAGCCACGAGTGAAAAATGAGATGACAGTTCAAACGAGATGTGGGTTAAAATAACTACGTTATTTGAATGTTTTATCTTGTACGCGATAAAGTGACGATGGATCAAATTTTATTTACTCTTTCACAATTAAAAGTCAAAGGAATAATTTCAACTGACCTAACCAAAATAAGTATAGAATACGGTACCGGTACATACCGTATTTTATAGCAGAAGGAAGAAATACATGGAAGAATGGCACAAATATCATTCGTCATGAAGAAATCGAAAAGAATTTTAAACACGCCTCATTGGAAATAATTTGAGTAAATTTTACTGCGCTCTTGTTCAGCGTATAAAATTCCAGATTGAATGTAACGCCGCAACATTAATGAGATAAGATGTGCAATTTTCCAGCAGCTCAACGTGATGCCCACGTTCATTTTCTCGCTGTTCAAAAGCAAAAAATCAAAAGCTATCAAATAATTAACTATCAAACCAACGAAAATATCAATCGCAATCAAAAACCTGAATTAAATAGGTGAATTTGTTCGAGATTCCTTGGTTTTGCAAGGGAACACAGTGCAGGTATATATAGGGAGTTTTTGCAAAACACAAATTAGAAAATTAAGCGTAAGCAGCAAACCAGGTATTAGACTCGCGCGTGTTCTGAAGAAAATGCGGAACGGAAATAGCATCAACATTATGCACCCATACAATGTAGGATGATTACACGTTGTACACATTCCGATCGCGTTTCGTTGATCATCGAAAGCTCAGAGCTCACTCATCTCTGGAACATTTTTGTAGGAGAATCTAAGAGCGACGGCTGAGTAAATGCTATTAGGGAGAGCCACACGACCATAACAACTTAGTAAGCCAACAAAAAAGTAGCCCTAAGAGTAAATGCCATAGATATTTGGTAACATATTGCGGGAATAAATTCATTAAAAATTAAGCTGCAAAAAGAAAACTGAACATTCATTTTTTGATCATGAGTGAACTCGCGACATCGCGCAGAACGATATATACTCGAGCCACGGACAAATTAAAACTCGAGCCATAATAATAAATTAACCACTAGGAAAATACTAAACGACGTTCAACCAGTAAATCAGTAGAGGAACATTAAAGTCTGATCTTCGCTAAATAGAGAGGCAGATGACAAAAGGATGATTTCTACGGAAAAATGGAAATATTCGGGATAGTTTTCTGATACTGTTATCCAAATGAGTAATTGATGAGTGACAATATAAAAAATGCGAAAATTGTGGACACTGCAGTTTTACTTTAGAACGTGACGTGAGTGTGCGTACACGCTGTCTGTACAAAACAAATTAATTCCTTCAATACGATATCGTGAATACCCCACGAGAGAAATTAAAATCAAAGTAGAATATGGGAACCTGAACAAGACAGCGTTTTAAGGTAAAAAAACATTTCGTGAAAACTGCTACTTGTTTTCCACACTGAAAGTATGACCGTAAAGTATCACTTTGAGTTTTGCGAAATTGAAAAGAATTGTGAACATTCACTATACTCTAACTTGTAAAATATCACTTCACAATCTTGGCAACCAATCGGTTCCTGCTAAAACGCGGTCAGGAGTGGGAGTTGGTATTACACTTCAAGGGTTTAAGATTTGTTCAATTTGAAAAGAAGAGCATTCAGCATATACGTTACAACAATTTTTTATTCCAACATCCATGCACAGCTTGGCAGGTTTGATTTACACCATTTTAGTGAGAATTGACAGGACGTTGATAAAAGATCGACATACTTTTTTCCCAACAGACGCACTTCGAGTCACGATCGTATAAGTTGATTTTGTAAACAACATATCAGATGATTTGCTTCCACAACAAATTAAACAATTAAGACAGAAACATTGGTCTTCGATATTAACTTGCGAAAGCAACGTAACTATTGCCCCGTACCATTGCCTTCAATGCTCTAGCAATAAGTTAATGCGCATACAGTCCACATTTACAACATTGCTGAAAATGCAATACTTCATTTGTATTGCTCATTCAATGATGAAGCATGATCGAACCAATTCAGATCAAACTAATGAGAACCCACCAGGCAAATGACGTTATAATTTATGAATGAAACTCAAAAAACTTTACTAAACGTTGATTCAACGAAACAACTTTTGATTCAACGTCAGATGACTGGTGGGAAGTACTGGCGCGTCAGATGACTGGCGCGATCACACAACTAATCTCTCCTTTAATGGAAAGACATTGTTAAAATAATACTGTACGAACATGACGCCAGAACTAAATAACTAATAGTTAATAAACCTGATCATGAAATAATGGCATTCCTTAAAATTAGTCTACAAACAGCACTTATTTAAAACATATTAGGAGGGGAGTGAGGTGAGAATAACATAAACGGTTCTGTTCAAGCGTATAGTCTTAAGCACTTGACGGCAGACGTTGACCAAACAGTAGCCGACGTTTAAGACGTCCATCAAACAACGGCCACGTTCAAGACGTCCTTCTGATAGTAGCCAACGTTTATGACGTCCACCAAACAACAGCCACGTTCAAGACGTCCTTCTGATAGTAGCCGACGTTGATGACGTCCATTAAAAAGTAGGGGACGTTTAAAACGTCCACCACACAGCAGCAGACGTCACGGTGAAGTGCCAATGAAGATGAAGCGATACCAGCACCTCGCCGCAGTTGTTTACTCCAATGGTGGAGCGGACGCTGCCCGTGAGAGAGAAGAGTTAGATTAACTTCGAATGCTCACAATACCACAGTTTTTCTTACAATTTACCATAACATCATTCAATTAGTATAGGTATTCGAGTGTGAACCACACTGTGCGATGCACAAAAAATGGCTGAATACATACATAAGCCTAGTGATATCAATACAATAAAATATGGTTGAGGTTATTTCACTTTTTATTTATTGCAGGAGTTCTTCAGAATAATTAGACACTACAAGCAGCACATCTACGCGTCGAATCATTTTTTGCAAAGTAATTAGTCTACAAATGAGACTAGTTATATAAAAGGAAGCAATGATGACCAACAAGGGAATAGAAACATGAAATCTAATTTAACACCGAACGCATACCAGAATTATGCAGAAGAAATGACACGCAAAACCCGTTTAAATTCTAAGCACAGAAAGATTCCCATATAAAGCCACAGATAAGTAAAGAAAAAAAAGTAGAGAACTTTAGTTCCTAATGAAGAGAGCGCGCGACAAGAGTGCAAGCAATAACTGGAATTAGTGGCAATAGATGAAGATGAGCCTAAGGATACAGAGAATGTATATAGTAAATCAATCCGTAATCCCCAACAGTCCCATAGCAATCGTAGGTATTATAATGTATGCAACAACACTGAAAACGAATGCAGTAAAAGGCTAAACAGCTACCAGAGACACGACGGCAATAAAAAACGTTGTAAACAGTTTGATATTACTACAAAATTTAAAAAAAGATACAACGCACAACAGACGGACAGAATAATGGAAAATAGCTGAATTCCCCAGACGGCGCTGAAACTTGTGTTACCTGACTTTTATTAACCCTTTATATTTTGAGGATAGCTGACTTTCAGGTACGAAGAACTTTAACGACGCCTGATTTATCCAAATAAAAAGGATTAACCGTTAGTTTATTGAGGGTTATTCTCGGAAACAGAATTTTAGGTACAAATAGCTTTAACAACGCTTATTGTATCCACGATGCAAGGCAATCAAAGGAGTTTCCGCGACGAGAATGAAAGGTTGCGTTACATCCATCTAAAAAAAATATTTCATCCCAAACCTACGACGACATCACATTAGCCATACGTTAAAGTGTGTTGAGAACCGAATAGGGTAAAGAAACGTTAACTAAAACAGAATTTCTAAAAAAAAACTTTCTAACGACTGAGGGGAATGGGAAGGTAGGTAGTTAAACTCAAAAGAACTGTCGAAGTGAACCAATTTCAGGATTTATATTTATTCCAGTACTTATTATGGTAATGGAAGGCGAGATTTCAATTTAGCCAGTAGCCAGTATATCCATATATTTTCATAATGTAGTATATCCAGGATGAAAATATTTTTAAATGAGAAACTTGCATTTTTTGTAGGACGTTGCGCTGGTTAACCAAGAAGGGAAATACTTAGTGAACCACTGGATTATTTGGTGAAGAGTGGGGGATTTAGACAAAATTTTTAAACTACTGTATTAGTTGGACAAGAGCGAGGGTATCTAGACAAAGTCTGGCACACATCGAATTAGATGGTGCAGAGTGGGGGATTTAAATAAAGTGTTTAAACCGCTGGATTATTTGGGCAAGAGTGGGGGGTTTAGACAAAGCAATTGAGGTGAGAGGAGGCAACTGCATGTAGAGAGCAGGCTAAGGGGCTTATGAATAACATTGGCTTACGCGCAGGTGCGGTTGGGAGCTACTTTTTAGCTTTGCCGTCATTATCCTGTCTTCGGGCAGCTCCTGTGGGACGTCAACACTCGTCAGATGTGGCAAGCTCATACAAACTTTATTTCATCACGAGAAAATAAGCTACAATCACGAAATTCATTTGTCAGACGTGGAAAGTTCATACAAACTTTATTTCATCACGAGAAAATAAGCAACAATCACGAAATTATCAGTCCTGATTTCAATCGTTATTAAATTCGTTTGACTGCAGTTCGTCATCTCAAACAACATTTTAAACTAGTTATTCTAGGTGTCAACATTCTATCACAGATGCTCTGATACGTCAAATCTTAAATGAATTGTATAATTCGTAAGTTTGGCTCTGTAAGTGGCATCTCCTGCACTTATAACACGCCAAGCGCCGACTCTTTCCTCTAAAGCCAGTACATAAACAAAGAAGATAAAAATAATCATTTTATAATGAACACGACGTATTCTTGGCTTATTTTGAACTTTGGACTCCGAAATTGAATTTGACTTGCATCACATCCAAAACTTTAGGTTAAACCATCGGTCTTGTGAACGTGTACTCTTTTCAGATCAATGCTAAAGAAAAGAGTGGGTCTTATTTACACAAAATAGTGATGATAATAATAATGGAAATCGTGGTTCGAAAAAAAAATGTGCGATTGGAAATGATAATGCTGAAGTGGTGAGGAAATAGAGGAACGGTCGAGAACTAATCAAGGCTACCGTACCATGGAAAATTGGTCAACATAAAATAAAGTATGGAAGTGGTCTGAAACAAAGTCTGGAAGTGGTCTCAAAGTGATGATGAAGGAGCCTCTCATAAAAGATAATATCAACGCAGTAATGGTGAGGTAACAACAGGGGATCTCACAGCGGTGGGGGTAAAGGTAACTCAAGCTGGCAGGTTGTTGACATTTGGTTGCGTGGCACCTGAGGATGTGAACAAGTCTTAAAAACTGCAGTGAAGTAATACGAGACGACCGTAATAATGCGTGTGCTTTGCTTGCACACCTCATTCTTGATATATACCGAAATACATCAATTCATTATCATATACGTTTTGAGTCAACATAAATTACGCAGAAAATGCGACATGAAATATTTTGCGTACGATGGAACAAGCGGGTGACGGTGGAGGTTGAGCGTACACAAGATAATAGAAAGATGTATGATCATAGAACTTATGCAAAAAAAAGAGAAGAAAACAAGCCACTACCTACCAACATAATAAATGAATATATAAATAAAAACTAAACACACAAAAAAGAGAAGCAAGCAAGAAGCAACGAGAAAACAAAAATTAAAAATCATATCCGTGATCAATGGGCAATGCTGGATAAATAGACACGTTAGCTCGTTAATAAAATACCAAACATCTTAACGCTCAAGAAGCGATCTAAATAACATAGACAAATTACGGACCAAATTAATAAGGCAAATTATAGAGCAAACAACTAGAAGAAATTATAATCCAAACTAGGACCGTTACTGCAGCTCGTATCCAAGCTGAACCCAACTGGATTTTCGCCGAGGATGCGTATCTACACTCGGTTCGATTATATCATTGTAACATGATGCAGGCTGACAAGAGTTAAGTGTTCACACTGACAACGAAATGTAGCCTGCTTCTATCACATAATGATAGAAATATTTATCGTCTAAAGTGTTCTCTCTGCAAATTTTGGGGGCTCTTAGGCACGAAGTACTCATGAAAGTTCCTTCAAATGAAAAAAAAATTAATAAATAGCATAGCGTTAAAGTTTAAAAATCGTACGCTATGAACCGAGAATTGAAGAAGATTGTATGGAAATGCTTAATTGATTCAAAACAATATTGCACCAACACAATAATGCACCGATATTGAAGATCAATAATAATCAACATTTTGGAACATACAAAGCGAATAGTGATGAAGCACGAAAGGCAGTTCAACGCCAACGATTGATAGCAATGACTTCGGAATTCACATTATAAGTTAGTTGACAATTACTCGTACAAAATTTCTGGTGAAATACTTGATCAGAGAAGCTAAAAGGGGGCTAGACAAGCTTCAACTACAGAACGAGTATTGTAAAAAATTACTGATGACTTTAGAAGAAGGAATTCTTGATAGATTTGAGCAACTCGGTGATCAGAAAGGAAAATATCTACATTGAGGTCTCAATAAGGCTCGCAACTACGAGTAACTTGAAAAAATGAATCACACCGAATCAAGCATTCGTAGCCACACAATGGTACAAGAGCCAACAGGAAGCAACAAAAATGTGAGAGCTTAAATCACGAACATCTTAGACGGGAATGAAGCCATAGAACTACTCATGAAAAGCAGGTTGCGCGCATCAGACTGACCACTTAGGGCAGGAAGGCTGATCTCAACGGTACTGCAGGCAAGAATTAACAGGGACAAGTCGAACATTACAGCACATCAGGTAAGGATTAAACACGGAACAGCTGGGATCAGGAACAGGCAGACTGACCCTTGGGTCTGTTGTAGTGGCCGCGCCCTTCGCCGTATCCATGTCTCGTGGGGGGCGCAGCAGCAGCGGCGGCGGCGGCAGGGATGGCAGGAGGAGGACCAGCGGACGGCACGCCAGGGTACGGCGGTGGAGGGTCGTCCGTACTGAAGCCTACCAAGTTGGGTGGCGATAAATTGGGTCCCATTAAACTGGGCGGCGATATGCTGGGCGCCACTAGTATGGGGGGCGCAAGATTGGAAACTCGAGGATTGGCAGAGACTCCTCCTGCAGGAGAACTTGACGCCCCGCGGCTGTTTCTTCTGTTACCTGAGGCGGGAGGAGGGAGTTGGATGCCTGAAGTGGAGGGCACAGAGTGGCGGTTGCCTCCTCTGCGGTCCCTGTTGTTGCGACCACCAGCACCTCGCTGCTGCTGCTGCCGTGACTGTTGCTGTTGTTGTTGTAGCTGCATGCTTTCTGGGTGGCCGCGGTTGTGCTGGTTACGCTGCAATAATAACCACGTGAATAGTGATGTTGAATAAGGTAATGCTGGTTATCAAACAACATTTATACAACTGCTTGAAGAAATTACCTCTGGAGAAGCTAACAGTTGGTGTGTTTCTTCAAACAGCAGCAACGAGATGGACCAGACAACATTATTAGATCTCATCAGCCTTGCACACATTCCAGTCTTACATTCTTACGAGGATATTATTAAAAAATCTCAACTTGACTCGTCACAGAGCGGTGACTGGTCTAGCCTCGCCAGTCACTGGTCTACTCTCACCAGTCACTGGTCTACCCTCACCAGTCACTGATCTACCCTCACCAGTCACTGGTCTACCATCACCAGTCACTGGTCTACCCTCACCAGTCACTGGTCTACCCTCACCAGTCACTGGTCTACTCTCACCAGTCACTGGTCTACCCTCACCAGTCACTGATCTACCCCTGTCTCTTATACACATCTAGATGTGTATAAGAGACAGCTGCCGTATTAAGGGCCCGCCCTCTCTGCCGTACTAAGGGCCCGCCCTCTCTGCCGTACTAAGGGCCCGCCCTCTCTGCCGTACTAAGGGCCCGCCCTCACTGCCGTACTAAGGGCCCGCCCTCACTGCCGTACTAAGGGCCCGGCCTCGCTGCCGTACTAAGGGCCCGCCCTCTCTGCCGTACTAAGGGCCTGCCCTCACTACCGTACTAAGGGCCCGCCCTCACTGCCGTACTAAGGGCCCGCCCTCACTGCCGTACTAAGGGCCCGGCCTCGCTGCCGTACTTAGGCCCCGCCCTCACTGCCGTACTAAGGGCCCGCCCTCACTACCGTACTAGGGGCCCGGCCTCGCTGCCGTACTAAGGGCCCGCCCTCACTACCGTACTAAGGGCCCGGCCTCGCTGCCGTACTAAGGGCCTGCACTCACTACCGCACTAAGGGCCCGCCCTCACTACCGTACTAAGGGCCCGCCCTCACTTCCGTACTAAGGGCCCGGCCTCGCTGCCGTACTAAGGGCCCGGCCTCGCTGCCGTACTAAGGGCCCGGCCTCGCTGCCGTACTAAGGGCCCGGCCTCACTGCCGTACTAAGGGCCCGCCCTCACTGCCGGCCTCGCTGCCGTCTCAGCCCGGCCTCGCTGCCGTCTGGCATGGGGCTCACCGTGATCCATTCGGCGACAGTGTTGAGCGTGGCCTCGTTGAAGAGAAGGTTCTTCAGCCTGGCGAGCGGTCCTTCGGCGTCCACAGCGCGGCACTTCTGGAAGACATCGCAGTAACCCTGCAAAAAACAGGTATCATCATAACATTCATAATTACAAGGTGAAAATAACACTAAATAGATATTAAAGCGTAGAAAACATTACTACATCATAGTTAAATTCGTACTGTTACAGCCCCTATGGGTAGGTACCTTCGTCATCAATACTCAATGAAGGTAAATGAATTTAGTACCAAAGAAACAACAGGGCGACATGGCAAGTACCTGGAAGTTGTTGCAAGGGGCACCAGGCCGCATGAAGACCGGGTTGGGGAATATCCTGTTGAGCTCCGAGGTGGACTTGCACGAGCCTGGTGAGTTGCCCACTTGACAGGCGATCTCGCAGAGCTTTTTCTTGTCTTGCACCACGTCTGACGTCAGGAAGCACTCACTCATGTTGTACGCCAAGCATATGCTGCCACTGCACTCTCCGTCTTTACACACCTGAACAGTAAAAACTCTTATTATAAACCAATGTAAAATCAAATTAACTGAAAAATAAATGGCTTGCAACCTGTTCAGAGTGCGATTTGCCGGAAATTGTCTGAATGAGCTTAATTTTTCTAATGAAATTTCAACCAAACCGACTCATCTGTATTGTGCTTATTTTCCTTCAAAAATATGAGCTACATATGACAATACCGACGCTATCTATGTTCAACCCAACGAGAAACTGAAGGGAATTAGTAAAAACCTGAACGAAAATAAAGTTACATAATAAATATTTATTTTAATTCATCCCTAAGCTGGGTAAGAGTTACGAGTGAAGGCGTTGCAACTAAGTTATGAGATAGACTTTATTCAAAGCACGTGAATATTTTAGTATTCATTGGTCTAGACTCTAGAGCCAGACAACCTGAACTATAGAGACATAGTGAAATGCAGCTTTGCGTCATTTATAACTTATATCAAGCTTATATGCTCGTCCAACTCATATCATTCATTAATTTATACAATAGAATTAAATGATGTATGAAGTATCCTGACACCAATCATTATATAAAATCTATACATAATTCAACAATATATCAGCTATGTGAGGTCTACCCGAAATCTTAATAAATAAAGTGGTAGGTACTGCTAATCATCGCTCACAATCACGTAGCACGATCACTCTACAAGTGTGATTACAAATAGGCAAAGTTGAAAGTTACTTACATCATTAGTCACATTGAAGTGTATGTTCAAGTTCACGAAAAATAAAAAATATATATAGGTATATATAAACACCAAGCAATTCTTCATGTCTACAGTGCAACGTTTCGGAGACCAGCTCCATGATCAGTTCCACAAAATATATAGTATACAAGAACAATCAACAGCGAAAATAAAATATGTACGATAAAGATTAGGTTGAATAACGGTATTTAAATAGACCTTGGTGTCTTCATTGCAGGGCTTGTTGTTGCGCTGCCACCTGGCCACGGGACATGACGCCATGCGGCCGTTGCAGTAGGCGCTCATGGTGCAGTCCGTCTCAGAGTGGCACTCTATGTTGCTCTCGAACGTACACGTCTCCATGTCGCAACACGGTCCTTGGCTAGGGCTGTACACAAACAAACGCATCGTTAATTCGACGAAAATAGGAACCTTTGATTCGCTCTATTACATCCTAGTATAATTACTGTACGTCAGGTGATCTGGCAACTATACGGGAATGTCCATAACAATGTTTTTATTAACTGTCATACGTTCGTTGATGGATTGTGTTCGTGGCAAGTCATTTTTCGCATAAAAACTGGCTCACAACTAACAACATAAAGTAAGGGCAGACGAGACCTGCACTACATGTAGGGAAAGTAAGAGCAGAAGTAAGACCTGCACTGTTTGTAAAGAAAGTAAGCCCTGAATAAAGACCTGCACTGCGTTTAGACAAAGTAGGACCAGAAAGTAAGATCAGAATCAAGCCCTGCACTGCGTGTACTGTAAGTAGGACCAGAAAGTAAGATCAGAATCGAGACCTGCACTGCGTGTACAGAAATTAGGACCAGAAAGTAAGATCAGAATCAAGACCTGCACTGGGTGTACAGAAAGTAGGACCAGAAAGCGAGACCAGAATCAAGACCTGCACTGCGTTTAGACACAGTAGGACCAGAAAGTAAGATCAGAATCAAGACCTGCACTGCGTGTACAGTAAGTAGGACCAGAAAGTAAGACCAGAATCAAGCCCTGCACTGCGTGTACAGAAAGTAAGACCAGTAAGTAAGATCAACATCGCAACCTGCACTGCGTGTACAGAAAGTAGGACCAGAAAGTAAGATCAGAATCGCGACCTGCACTGGGTGTTGGCACGTCGGCTGCACATCCTGGCAGAAGCGTTGTTGTTCCTGTCGTACTCGGTGACGAGGCGCGGGTAGCAGCAGCTCTCGTTGCAATCTTCCTTGTCGTAGCCGCAGTCGCACTCTTCGCCCTCCTCCACGATCTTATTGCCGCAAAATGTCCCGTTCGTTGCTGCTCCCCAAAAATTATTATTATTATTTATTGATATTATTACGAAAATTATTTTCAACACTGCACTTAAAGCGTCATTAAATTGTGGTGTTCGTTAATGCTCCCCAACAATTATTATTATGAGAAAATTTATAGTGTCAGAAATTATCGTTATTAAAAAAATAATTATTTTATTATTTATTGATATAAATAAATTTTTTTCAACACTGCACTTGAAGCGTCATTAAATTGTGGTGTTCGTTGCTGCTCACCAAGAATTATTTACAGGAGTGCACTTCAAGGATCAGGCAACTAGAATCATCGACAAGGGAGAAAAACTGTTCGAGGCATAATAAATGCCGATTGTTCTCACTCAATATTGCATGGTAGCATTGAAGAATAAGTAACGTCAGGGCTAAATTTCAAACATAGCATTTAAATATATTCAATAGAGAATTTATTTCATACTACGGTGTTGGATCAGCAAAACTAATTCCTATGGACAAAATAACAGTTATAAAATACCTACTACAATAATATCGCGATGAAGTTATAGCTTAAGCAATAGTTTAAAAATACATTTCCTTTATAATATATTTAATACACTAAAATAATACCTTACAGTAAATAATTAATACACTAAATAATACACTAAATAATTACCTCTAATAAAAAAGGTAATAATCATTATGACACAAATTTCAGTTTTATGTGCGTCGGCTGCAATTCATAGGTTCGCACGTTGCTTTCTTTTTCATTATATTACTTTTCTTACAACTTTTTTAACTTTTTTCATAATATTACCTTTGAAGCAGTTCTTGCGTCTATTTTCAGCGATGGCATCAAGCACTTGTGAGATGTTCCTGACAGAGCAGCTGGAGAACTTGTCGTTGTTGGGGCGGTCGCCGCTCGTGGCTGACGAGAACATAATAAAGTTGCCCTGGTGGCCTCCTGGCTTGCAGCTGCTTGGGAAGTCGTGCTGAAAGCAATAAAAGTTACATTTGTAATGAGTGTGTTAAATAAATATTCTGGATTTCCAGCATAAATTTTTAAAAGTTACAATATACCTGCTTGGGAAGTCGTGCTGAAAGCAATACGAGTTAAATTTTTAATGAGAGTGTTCAATATTCTGGATTTCCTGCATAATTTTTTTTTTTAATTTCAATATATGTACCTAGGTACATATATATTTACCTGTACCAATATATGTACCTAGTGTAGGTCTAATAAAACCTAAGCATTCCGACTAGCGTCAAGCTTGAGTTTCAACTCTATGATGTAAAAAGCATCATAATTCATGGTTTAAATCGCAAAAATAAAATATTCACAACATTAGAAGGGAAAGCCTGAAAAAATGGCAAAGAATCAAAAATTTAATTTCTGAACATCAAAGTTTTATTTGTAAGATAGGAGACTGAACATGATATAAAAGAACAACCGAAGCATCCATGATTCTTGACAATAGCATATATGAATCTTGAATATATAACCAAGGGTGTTATAGGGATGTTATAAACTATCGTTTAACAATTTCAACAAGTAGCTCTATGTTGTGTTCCTTTAATTATGATGCTTTCTAAATAATCCATGAGATGCACGTATATTTCAACCAAGTAACCTTTTCAGTTAAAGTCGCCTATGAGCTCAGACTCTACAACGAATGATTTCTTCCTTTCGAAAATACCTGCGTTGGTTACTAGACGGAAACTTGGGGCCAAGTATCTCCCGAAAAAAAAACGAATGGAAAATCCGAAATATAAGGAATCACTAAAAAAAAATAACTTTTGTAGATCACACTAATAACTTTTGAAGCAACGCGATTTGGAATCTAGTAGACATCAATGAAATGTAGGCATATTTGATAAGCTCGTATCTCGTATGCATGATACGTAACGGACCTAAGTACGAGCGCGGTCAACAATTTTGAAAGAACAGCAGCCCGAAATTTGAAATTGATTTGAATCGTACTTGAGCAAGAAAAATTGTCGGCAATGGAGGAAGAATTTTTTTACTCAACGGACTAAGAGGAGGATTTTCAAGGAACAAGCATTCTACCGGTCATCTTACGCAGCATTTTGATAGGAGGCACGAGCGTCGTGACGGCAGCAGTTCTGGTCGGTGTAATCGTTGCGTTGATCGTCATCAATGCGGATAAAATATTTGGATTCTTCATGACTATTGTTTTTTAAAAGCTGTTTGGAATGGTCGAGCTTATGAGAGAAACCGATGAAGATAGCGAAACGACCACATCTACACTTCCCGGGTTATTTACTAGACGCAGAGACACGCCCATGCCGTTTATGAGAGAACAAATCCATCATGAACTACCGGGGAACGCTTTGTATCTAACACCGCATGAAGTGCAGGTCATGGATCTGCTGGTCTCCCCTGCACAGCTCAACGTAACTTGGGATAACGTGGCAGGTTCTGAAGAGCTTATTAGTAGTATCTAAGAGCAGGTTATTTATCCCATGAAGTATGCAATGCAGCACAATCCTGACCCGCTCCTGATGCCCCCGAAAGGAATTCTTCTGTACGGTCCTCCCGGCTGCGGAAAAACGCTCATCGCCAAAGCCATGACCAACGAAATAGAAGCAAATTTCATCAACTGCGATATATCGGCAATTAAAAACAAATTTGTAGGAGAGACAGAGAAAATGGCAACTGCTTTATTTTCAGTTGCAAGGAAAATTGAGCCTTGCATTATCTTCATAGACGAGGTAGATTCCTTCCTAAGCTAGCGAGACGATGGCGATCAAGCGACCGAGTCTACACTGAAGGCGATCTTCCTGCAGTAATGGGACGGACTAACAACAGATTCGCTGAACCATGTCGTGGTTCTTGCTGCTTCAAACAGGATAGACGCCATTGACGACGCAATCTTGAGGAGGCTTCCCTTGCAATTTGAAGTGCCTTTGCCAAAAGAGGATAAACGAAAGGCCATCTTACAGTTTGTTCTCAAAGATTGTGATGTGGATGAGGACGTTGACTTGGATGTCATTGCGAGCCAGACGGAAGGGTTTTCTGGTTCTGATTTGTAAGAAATCTGTCGACACGCTGCCACCTACAGACTCGTTGAATACTACAAAAAAGTCAGAAGCATCGAGTTGGAACGAGAAGATGATTCTGAGGACATGGTACAAGACTTGCCAGATGAAAAAAAGTTGCTTGTCGACCCAAAGTAAATTTTTGACCATTTCAAAAAAGTCAGTAAACAAGATTTCTCAGCAGGATATTCAACTGAAGACATGAATGTAGGACAATCCTTCTCCACTTCTACGGACGAATTGATGTCACAGGACTCGTAGACGACTCGCCGCCATTCATCGTTCACCTATCAAACTTTACCGCTAGACATTATACATAAATTACTAGCGGACGAACTAGAAGAGTTCGATGACGATGAACAGAAAGCTGGACATGACTTGCAGGGCAACAAGGGAGACCAGGGCGACCTAAAGTCTTTGCCCTTCAAGATTTTCTTTGACTGTGGTGCTCTAGAATGCGGAGAGACGGGAAATGATCCCAAAAACAGAATCCTACCTCATGCAGAGGAGGACTATGCAGAAAGAAATTTAGATGAAGTTCCGAACCAAAATTTCACGAAGACTTCTCCGTTGACGTTACTTGATCTTGGCAGGTGGGGCGATCGTAACAAGTAAAAGGTGTCGCCTCTGCGAGCCATCAACATGAATGACTTGCTTCGAGCCCTCAAGCACTCCAGGAAAAACATCCAAACCAATTTCCCGCATGATATGTACAACTGAGCCATTGAAATAATCTCCCGCGTGAAGTGTACAAGTGATCAACATAAATAATTTTTTACATTACTCATTATTGAAAATCATTCCTTGATATCTAATTTTCTGTTCGATAAATGCTCAAATATTTTGTAGGTAGCATTACATTCCATAATAAGCTTACATAAACTATGAAGTCTTATATATAACTTGTAATAAAATTGAAAAAATGATTGATGAATAAACATTTTAATGAGAACTGTAAATAGTGATGCGTTTTACTTATAGTTATATTCTGAAAAGCGAGTCAACAGCCAAATAATTCTAATAAAATGTCTAGAACTTTTATACTAAAGGGAACGAATAAGAAAATTATGTAGATAGCAAACATTTTTTTTAAATTTTGCATTGGAAGAAGAAAATGCTAACTAAAAACACCAACGATATGGAAAAATATGCCGAGAGCAAGTAATAAACACAGGAATAAATTATAAGTATAACATAAAAAATGGCAATTAAAATTAACTCAGTGAGCTGAAAAATATGGTTGATTGATTCATTAATTGCCTCCTGAGGGCATACATGTCTATCAAATTTTTGCGATTTTGTTGAGTCAAATGCTCAAAAAAACTTCGGGATATTAGAAAGATCTTACGTTGAATCAATTATGAATTGTTGAATCAACGTTAAAGTAAACGTACGGTCGAATCAACGTTAAAATAAACGTTTGGTCGAATCAACGTTAAAGTAAACGTTTGGTCGAATCAACGTTAAAGTAAACGTTAGGTCTAATCAACGCTATTTCAACGTCCTTCGCCTGGCGAGGTAAATATTTTCTCACCGGAGAACCGAAATTGTGGCCGATCTCATGGGCGAGCGTGAGCTGCGAGACCTTGGGTGGCACTCTAGAGTTGTAGTTAAGGAATGTGATGATACCGGTGTTGAGGGACCGCTGCTCTGTGTTGCGACGACCTGCTAAGTTCTCCGTGTACGTCTTGTACTTCTCACAGATGCCACCACTTGCCCCTGCATTGTGGACACCAGAATATTATTGAACATTAATTTATATTAAAGTATGGCGCTCAGAGTAATCAGTTTATACTAAATGTGACGCTCAGAATAACCGGTTTGTACTACAATGTGACGCTCAGAGTATTCGGTTTATACTAAATGTGGTGCTCAGAATAACCGGTTTGTACTAAATGTGACGCTCAGAGTAACCGGTTTATACTAAATGTGACGCTCAGAGTAACCGGTTTATACTAAATGTGGCGCTCAGAGTAACCGGTTTATACTAAATGTGGCGCTCAGAATAACCGGTTTGTACTAAAATGTGACGCTCAGAGTATTCGGTTTATACTAAAATGTGACGCTACATGACAATCTATTCAAACATATCATATATGTTGATCAATTAACTTATGGTTGCAGGTAAATGGCGAAAAATAGGTTCCTAAAAATAAAAATCTAGACATTCTCACACCCCCTACACAAATTATATCACTTGCTTCTATGCTTCGTGATTCAAAAAACCACTGAAAAATTAAACAGAAAAGAAACTTGATACTCCATGATTCATAATTATATTGAAATTTACCCAGAAAGTAAATATAATTTTTATACAACATTGACGAGGAATAACTGAACTAACCTGAGGGCGACGCGACCCATGCCAGCCCCAAGGTGCCTCCAGTAAAGTCCCTGAAGGTGAACACGTAGGAGAGGCAGAAGTCGTCATGATTCATCTGCGAGTGAAGGTTCAGGAAGTTACTCACGTCTACGTTCACCTTGCAGAACTTGTTCACGTCTGAGCCTGAGTTGCTGCCGTACCTACGACATGTCGAGTCATCGTCGATCTGCACACGAAAAGAACCATGTTATGGTAGAGAAAAAAAAATAAATTATTTATAATTTTTTAATATAATTATATAATATTTATAATTGATAATGTGTCCAAATAGTGATGCAGTTAATGACCTTACGCGAGTCATCCTAACCCGGGTAGTAAGGTGTATTAGAGCTACGCTCGCTTTGTGTCGAGCTGTGGTAAGCAATAGGGAAAATAGCAGTACATTTTCAGAACAAAATGTAATTTGAAAACGTTTTAACATGCGAAAATTGCAGCAGTGGAAGAAGAAGGACGGCGACCATTTAGTGTGCGCTTAGTTGATGCACAAGTGCACACTAAATGGTCGCCGTACTGCTTCTAATGGCCCTTGCAGGCGACGAGCGTGCCAAGAAAACAGGCGCGACGTAGCAGCGTTTCAAGGAGAGGTTCGTTGTCGTCAACTGCTGGACATTCATTGGATGATATTTACAGTCATTGATATCATCAGTCACCTTCGTTTTGTTAGACAAAGTGGTGGTAGCTCTCGACGTGTGCTTCGAATCATTATCTTGATGAAAGATCCATCGTCGTCCAAGCCCCGACTTCGGAGCGGATGTTTGCAGATTTTCGGTCGAAATCGATATATAAACATCTGAGTTGATAATTCCATCAATTGGAACTAACTTCCCGGTGTCACTTAAGGAGAAATGATCCCAAAACATCATCGACCCGCTCCAGATGCTTGATAGTTGGGATTGTTGACTGACACATGCTTGAATGTGCATCTTGGGATATTCTTCGGGCGCTTCGAGATGCACCCATAACTATTGCCATGTTTGTGTAGGTCAATAATTTTGTTTTTATAATCTACAATGAGCTTCTTCATCTTGCCCACCTCGAGCTTTGCAGTCAAATGGCAGGAACCAACACCTTTTGAATGACGTCACCGATAAAAATCTCTTCGGGATATGTCCAACGGGATAATTTCCAACCGGATACCACAGCGAATATCGTCAAAAACTATAGAAACTAAACGAGCCTGCTGGAGGATATCAAGATGAAAGGACATGCTATTGATTATTATCGTTGCAACTATGTTGGTATTTTCCAACTGTATGAATAATTGTGTCTGGAGGTGTTGGGGAATTTTTACATGTTAAAATTCTTTTAAATTCCATGTTATTCTGGAAATGTAAAGGTATTTTCACTGTTACATAATGCTTGGTAAAATTAAATATTAGGCTCATGCATTCATTAATTGTAGAGTTATTCAATAAAACATGGAAAAGAAAGGGAAGTACGAATAACTTCGTCGCTAACTGTAGGTTGTACGGTGGAAATTTCTAGCGCTGCTAAGACGGGACTTTTTCGGCACAGTGCGAAACATGATCAATCATGCCCGAAAGAATGCTATTTTCTAAGCCAAGTAATTGATGCAATCACAACCTTGCTCGCTAACCTGCTCAGGTCAACGGCACAATTCAAACCCCTTACATTATTGATCGTAAGTAATAAAAATAATAAGAAAATTTATAAATAACGGGTAAAGAAATACATATAGTGATCAAGTTGAACACTGGACGTACCTTTATTCTCTGGACCTCGAAGCGTATGCCCTTGTGCTTGTACTTGCCATGAAATACAACGTCACCATAGATGTGGTTCACGGCCTTGATGTGCTGCGACACCATCGCTGTGATCTCGTCTCGCGTCTTGATCGAGTCGTTCTTCTCCTGCACATCATGCGATTAATGATGTGTAATTAATTACTCATGCAGTTAATGTTTTAAGACTTAACCATATATTTATGATATTTAGTACATATCAAAAAGTAAGATGTTACAAGTGGCACACACGTTTTCTACATTATTATCCATTGATAAATTAAAACACCACTTGTTTCATCATTTACTTTCTATACGATTACATACAAATGATGTATAAAACTGACCCGCAGAAGGTAATTTACCAAACTTTGGGACCACGAAATTAAGATATACACGGTACCTAGTTGAGATCATAGGCGAAGCCCAATACAAAGAACAAAAAGATAGAAATAACACCGTCTGATCGTTTATTATAGGCTCGCTTTTTGGGGAAGAGAGATCAATAGATGATCTCAGAGAAAAATTATTCTTAGCGCAGAAACCTCGTTGTGTAAGTTACAGTTTTCCTAACCATAAGTACAAAAACGAAGTTAAATAATAAAAAAGAAAATCTTTCGTTTTTAAACCATCATTATTCTTTATACATGGATACATTAACCGACGTAAAGGCTATCTGTACCTAAAATCCTGATTATGGATGTTATCATCAGTAGACAAGAAATTGAATTTGAAATGTAGGTAATGAAATTGACCGACAGGAGACGAGGAATTATACATGAAATTTACAGTTTAGATTTTCAGAGTTCCTCAGAGCTACTAACCTGTTGATATATGTACCGCCAGAGCAGCGGGTCTGTCTGTATGGAGAGCGTACATGTGCCTTGATTATCTTCACCCACTCCACCCGAGTTGAGGGACCGTTTGCTTCTGGCGTTGGCAGCTTCACTGTATTTATTGTGATATTCTTTATGCAGCTCATCGTAGAGGTGGCGGCGCTTGCGGTACAGTGATGGGTCACCAGCAGGACTTACAAACTCCTCGAACTCGAGCGCCTTGCCTGAAGAATCCGACCTCTGAGGACCTGGCGAACTCGACGACGAAGAAGAGTCCTCGTTCTCAACAGCACTTTCCTGCACATTCCTCATCCACTCAGCGACGTCGTCGGTGACACCGCAACCTGACTTGTGTCCCGTGCGTCGCTGAGCGTATGGATCGCTCACGGCGTCGTCGTGGTATATCACCGAGTGGAAGGAACCACCCGCGTCCCGAGGTGGTGTTTGGAAATACTTGTGCGCGCGCTCGACGTAATATTTCCCTTGTGATGGCGAGTCTATCACGCCCTCGAACACGCCATCTATTACGCTCCCCCACACGCGTGCGCTCGCTTCATCTGAACAAAACACAGAAGCATCAATCATTTCTGGGGATACCGTCAGCAATGAACCCTTTAGGCATGAATAAATTCTGGTTAAAATAAAATCATTTTTGGGAATACCGTCAGCTATGAACTCTTAAGGCATAAATAAAATTTGGGCTAAAATAAAATCAGTTATGAGAATACAGTCAGCAATGAACACTTTAGGCATGAATAAAATTCTGGCTAAAATAAAACATGGAATTTAACTTGGTGTTGGAAATTGATTCCTTTCGCAATAATGAGAGGCGATTTCGCTAAAAAAAAAACACGAAGCTTCGAGATCAGAAATCGGTTGCGTTTGATCTCCATCACGGGGCCATCCATCGATGGCATCTTTAGTCGTACTAAATAATCATCGCGCGTAAAACGCCAGCGTGCCATGGTAGACTCACCTGCCAGCGTGCCATGGTAGACCCACCTGCCAGCGTGCCATGGTAGACCCACCTGCCAGCGTGCCATGGTAGACCCACCTGCCAGCGTGCCATGGTAGATCCACCTGTGTGCCATGGTAGACCCACCTGCCAGCGTGCCATGGTAGACCCACCTGCCAGCGTGCCATGGTAGACCCACCTGCCATGGTAGACCCACCTGCCATGGTAGACCCACCTGCCAGCGTGCCATGGTAGAGGTGGTTGGTGTGCAGAGGCTCGGGGACGTGGTTGGGCTGCTCCACGTCCACGTGGGGGCTGAACGTCTCATCGTCGCGCCGCAGCCGAAGATGGAAGCGCCGACCGTGCGAGTGGAACGCGATCTCCACCTGCGGGAGGGGGGCGGTCATTAAGGGCTCTTGACGCAGCAAGAAACAGCGGCTCTACAGCACCGCAGCAGCAAGGAGTGTGTCGGTGGCACAGCAGTGCAACAACGTCCACAGCACCGCAGCAGCATGTCTTGCACAGCAGCACACAGCACCGCAGCAGCATGTCTGATGCACAGCAGCACACAGCACCGCAGCACACAGCACCGCAGCAGCAAGTAGCAGCAGGTCAGTGGCACAGCAGCACACAGCACCGCAGCAGCAAGTATAGCAGCAGGTCAGTGGCACAGCAGCACACAGCACCGCAGCACACAGCACCGCAGCAGCAAGTAGCAGCAGGTCAGTGGCACAGCAGCACACAGCAGCAAGGAGTTACAAGTCGACCACACCGCAATGCGGTATCCAAGCCACAGCTGAGGAAGCGAGGCGGTCCGACGCATGCCCCTGGCGCCTATTACCTCCTCTTGCAAAATTTCGCTCAGGAGTTTTACAAAATTTCGCTCAGGAGTTTTACAAAATTTCGCTCAGAAGTTTTACAAAATTTCGCTCAGGAGTTTTACAAAAATTTCGCTCAGGTGTTTTACAAAATTTCGCTCAGGAGTTTTGCAAAATTTTGCTCAGGAGTTTTGCAAAATTTTGCTCAGGAGCTTTTTTTGTTCGTTTATCAGTGAGCAATTTATTTATTTTTTATTTTTTTCGCATATGTTGCCACTTTTTTTTCTAATACAATTATGTAAACTGACCAGTATAAATGATAGTTCTTGAAACCGCTGAACACAACACAACACGGCCAGATTGTCCAAGGTGAGAAATACAGTCTCTTATTGAGTATAATAAATTTGTTACACACAACGTCAGGCGTGACTTATTTGCAAACAGAACTCAATGAAATCCAACGAGTAGAATAATTTATCATAAATGAAAGAATAAGCACAGCAAATCATTTCTTATCGGTGAACCTACCTATATATCATTTCATTATTAAAAACTGTAAAAACAATAATTACGCACAAAAAAATACATTAATTCGTGAAAGAGTTAGGCGTCATAGTAAAACCCGGATAATTCACAGCCAAATAATGGAAACAAATTTTCATTGAAAATAGGAGAATTTCATGGTTGAATGAGCGTAAGAAAGGGACAGTAATAACATGTTGATACTCACGGGCTGGGCGTGTTTGTGGGGCGTGGACGTGTCTCTGACATGTCTGGTGTGTTGTGTGTGTACGCTCTCAGGGTCGTAGGAGAGAGCGTTATAGTGGCTCACGTACTCGCTCAGCGGCACGCCTGCGCCCCCAACTGCACATGAACGTTAAGAATCATATGCTGGCAACGACATTATTGCTAATTGATCAAACTGATATTGGTGATCAATATAATTCATAACACGGTATACACGCTAACATTGTATAATTTTTAACTGATAAACTTGATGTTGGAAATTTATAAAATTCTGAATACCTGCATGCTGGCATAATATAATTTCTAATTAATCCAATTGATATTGGTGATTCATGAAATTCTGAATAATTACATACTTGCGCAACGGCATAATAGCTAATTGATCAAATTGATATTGGTGATCAATAAAATTCTGAATAATTTTATACTGGCATAGTAGACTTTCTAACTGATCAAATCGATATTGGAGATTTCTAAAATTCCGAATAATTACATACTGGCATACTGTAATTTCTGATTGATAGACTTGATATTGATAATTTCTAAAATTCTCAATTACCTACATGCTGGCAGCAGTTCAATCACGCGACGCGGTGAACAAAAAATATTGAAAATTTCTAAGCTTATAGGTAGTTGATTTAATGGTACAAAAATACAATCTTAATCCTTGTCGGATTGCATAGGTACAGTTGTATCGAAAATGGAACGATTATAACGTTGTAAAACTATGCAGTCGCACGAGGGTTAAAGAGCAACGCCACACTCCTTAAGGATAAAAATCGATTTTCACTGCAGAAATTGTTATAAAGGCAATGACAGATTAATATAGATACAATACTACTATAGATACAATACATGAGAGAAATACAAGTCACAATGCTGTGAATTTGTCTATGTTTGAGCAGACGCCGAGCAAGTTTTTCGTGCACCAAAATTACGAAAAATATACGGCACACTCAACATTAGAACAATAAGAAAAAACGTCAATGACAAAATTTGTGGGTAAGAGCGTAAATTCCTTCTGAGATAATGAACTCCGAAACAATACAGGTCTGGCTTAGACTGACTATGCTAATCGTGGAGAAATAAAAGGTACAACGAACACTCTACGGCGCTGCAACATTACGCTGATTGCTCCCAGAAATATGTGAGAGATTGTCCGAATAGTAATGCGCTTGTTGCCTTCGGATCATCATAATCCAGTTTGGCCTGACAAATGGCGTAAATAGGTGCTAAATCAGCTCTCTGCTGGTGCTTTACGTAAGAATGTATCACTATTTAGACATGAGACCCGATAATTTTTTTTTTTTAGTGATCAAACCCATAGGACGGTAAGCAGCGTCACACCAAAGCGCTTCTGCTGCTTTCGGTTCTCCGCTTAAACTTGAATAATGACACGCAATGAATCGCATAAATTCATATAATATTAACATACCCAACCAAAAAAGAGTAAGTTGAAAATAAGTTGGAAAGTTGGGCCACCCTGGGCAGGGTGGCCCAGTGGTTACAGTTCAGAGTACCAAGATTGGCGCAGAGAGGCGCGGGTTCGATCCCAGCTCTGTGCGCCAGTTTCTGGGCAGAATCGGCAAGGAGGCCGGGCGGTTAAGCACAGCAGAATCTGAATCAGTGAGTTGTGAGTTCGAGACCGCAACAAGCTGTGGATGTTCTGCGATGTTAAGAATCGGCGACAGGCCTATGGCCTAATAAACGCTGAAACCGCTATTATTATTAATATTATTATTATTATTATTATTAAGTGCAGTAGGTACCTACTTGAAAGAACTTGAAAATTACGCGTAGATCGTACAAGCGCTGCACATATTATAACAGATCACAGTTACAGTTAGATTGTGAGATTTGCCATTTGCAACAGCCAGTTCAAAAATGAAACGAGCGAATCGTACATTAATTAAGTTTATCGAATAAGTTATATTTAATGCATTTCAAAGTAACATTGATCCTATACCATTAACTACGATGAACCCTAAAGAACCGTACGACAGTAATTTCTGAAAAGAAAAATAGACGTCAAACGAACGCTTGTGCAAATAACATCGTTGCACACGGAGCGACGAAGAATGAAGATGAAATTTCCGCTCTAGCAGCAGTGGATTCTTTCTTCACTTCGGAGAGAGACTCAATCAAATCTACAGCGAGGTTAATTTAATGGTGAGTTAACGTTAGATAATGAGAGTGATGTACGTTGCGAATCAAGAAACTTGTATAATTTGCATCATGTACGCCAGGCAGTGAGGCAGGATCGAGGGGATTATATGCAACGGCTGCAGCTTTCTCATGAGGATGCATAACGGCTGCAGCTTTCTCATGAGGATGCATAACGGCTGCAGCTTTCTCATGAGGATGCATAACGGCTGCAACGTCGTCATGAGAATGCATAACGGCTGCAACGTCCTCTTGAGGATGCATAACGGCTGCAACGTCCTCTTGAGGATGCATAACGGCTGCAACGTCCTCTTGAGGATGCATAACGGCTGCAATGTCCCCCCGATGATGCGCGACGGCTAAGGATGCGCCTGCACCACCGCACTGACCTGCAGCCTCAAGCAAAGTACCACACTATGAGCTGTGCGCCAGGGTACCGCTGCTGCCCTAATATTGAAGTGACTGCAAGCAGGTATGCGGTGTAAATCCTCGCGATTTGCGTGGCAAGTTACACATAACACACGAGTTTGACACGCCAGTTCATGCAGTAGGTATAGAACACTAAAATGAATTGAATGATTTATTAACATATATAGGTATATGTATTAATTAACACTAAGATTTATTGATTGATTAATTAACATATAATATATAGGCACCGAGACATGGTGATGAAGTCGCGCCATACGACGTTTGGCGCTCTGTGCTGGCGGGTGAGTTAGAATTATACGCAATTATGTATGGTTTGTCTATCTCACATTGGACTCATGCTAGTTATTACTAATAATAAACGTACAAAATTATAACGAAAATCTAGCATGAACAATTTCGTTCGTAGTCTACTTGCAGATTGAATATATACATCACAAATTGACGATACGTAATTCATTTTTCATACAAAACAATTTAATACAGAATGAATAACAACAAAGTTTGCTTAATAGGAAATAGGTGCAGAGAAATTTTAAAACAATTCCATTAACACCACTGCTTCATTTTCCGCGTTGAAAGCACAGATATGGTTGTGCATTTAACAATCTTTTCATCGTGTTTACTCGAGACCAGTAGTTTGCAGCGTAATTTTTTTCTTACACTTCTATATTTATTTATATTTATATATTTGCTGCGGTGCTCACACTCATAAAAATAAGAAGACCTTGTCCAAAAAAAACGATCCACATTTTGCCCTTGTGTGGGTGATCCTGAACCAGTTTGGCCAGGCAGAAGGGCGTATTAATGTAACGTGCAGAAAGTGTGTCACCATTTAGACAAAATTACCAATTTATTTTCTCGCAACAAGCAGCGCTGCAAGCAGCACAATCCCCCGTTGAGTCCGTTATTGTTGCGGTGAGTCGTGACTAATGAGGTTAATTCTTCAAAGTGAGGCTCAATCCAACCACCGCAACTCTGCACAATTTATTATGCGGTACAATTAGCGGCGGTGATACAACCGCTCTATCAATCAATGCAATCCTGGTTATGATACACACAGTGCAACATCCATAAAAAATTATAAATCCGTTCGAGGTTAATTCTTGTGATCGTGATATAGTAGTTTTATGATTAAATTCACTTTGCAATCTATTTCAGTCTTGCTCGGTCGGATGTTTGATAACTTTCGTCAGCTCGCAAAGACCAAATCATTTGCTGGAAAACGACTTCCATGTTGCATACCACGATGAGCGCGGAAAATTAGAGTATTTAAGCGGCGAACGGGACCGCTGTAGCGACCTGACTCTTCCGGTCAGCTTCTGCATCAGGCGAGGAATGCAGCACAACGACCGATATGCATCTTTTTTATTACATCCTTGTTCCTTACTATGTTGATTCACTTTATATTTATAAAATAACCGGAAAACAAAGTAACTAAAGGTAACCGTTTGTAGCTGCAGGTAATCAAATCATTATACGTGCAACAAGCATTCAAAATATTGAACATCTTTTAAACTTTAAAGGTAGAAGCGCACTACATTTACCAATTCTAGTCCTAGAGCAACAAGATTACCTTAAAAAATATACTATCGGAAGCAAAAGCATTACAGGTTACTATATATTGGTGGCGATTTAATGAAAATAAATCACGAAGTGTGCAACGAACATCCGCGGTAATGACGATCGTTCAAAGTAACCGCACTCTTAACTCGCTAGTTTTCTTTTCTCTCGGATAAAAATTGGGTAATCAAGTAGGATACGCCGAGTGCCGACCACGCCTGCCACCATGCGACGTGCAGATGCATGAGCTCGCAAGGTTATGCTTGTTGGGAAATATGTCTTCACTATACGAGCCTGGGCTTGGGACGTTTTAGTTCAGGACTCGGGTAAGTCATGGAGGCAGTGTTAGGATGCACGAAGAAACTAATCTTTATCACACAAAAATGAACGTGAAAAACTTCAATCATTTCTTGATCAGCGAAGGCTAATGTATATGTTTGCTACATCGCTAACGACCCACTAGGCGATATAGCGCAATTACGAATCATGCCGTCCCAAATCATATTTGTAACGAGATTTCACTGGATACATGAATCATCATGGCTACCACAAGTAATTTTGTCAGTCCTTAATCTTTCACCCTCTCTTTCTCCAACCCTCTTCCCCTCTTCCCTCTATTTTCCCTCTTTCCTCTTTGTTTTTTCTTTCTTCAACGTAATTAATGATCCAGTTCTATCATAGCCTAATTATTGCACTGCTTCCCCCTAAATCAGATTGTAATTTTTTCCGTAATTAGGAATAATATTACATTATTCATCATTTCTATCATTACTGTTGTAAAAATTTTGGTGATGAGTAACATTACACAAACCATTTTTTCAATTATTTAACAATATAATTCTTGAAATATTTCATGAGACAAGACGCGATAGAAGTTGATAGAAGAAGACCACATGAGCGTACGCAGCGCAGGCGGTCGATGACCTATACCGCCACACGCGCCGTTACGGAGAATCCTTCGC